AATGAAATGGATTGAAGTTTCACATCGCGTGTTGGTTGATGCAGGTTGGGAGCGTGTTGCGACATGGACATTCATGATTGTTGTGAGTTTCAAGCTGTCGTTTGACAAGTGTTTCCCAAGGAAGCTTGTGAGCCTTGAGTCCGACATACGCAAGTCACCAAGGTATTGAGTGAAAGCAGAGTATCTGGCTCCCCAGGCGTTGCCGCCAGTATGCGCTGAACTTTGCGCCGAAGTGACAGGCAACATAATAGCGCAACTGGTTTTCAACGCGGAACAACAAGCAGCCTTGCTCTGCTGGGCTAACTGAACAAAATCGCACTTTTCACAATTGTCTGTGAGCCTGGGTGGCGGTGTGAAAAACATCCTCATGGTTTTCATGGGATTCTGTTTGATCAAACTGCGGGGCATGAAACATGTAAAAGTTAATCGTCTTGCCTGAGATACAGCCCCCAGCTCGTATCTCACATGAACGTGGCTCACATGTTGCGCTCATGGCGTAATGAACCTTCGTGAAACTTTTCAGTAACCGGCCATGTCAATCATACGATTTCTACAGCCCTGACCTGGGTGGAGCATCTTCGAGTCTGCGCCGCCCACATGATGACAGCTTGGATGAGGATAATGAGTGCCGGTTTTACTGACACGCGCAGGATTGCGTAGCGCTACATTTGTACGAACATGGACATTAGTAGTTGCGTCATGCGCACCCTGCTCGCGCTAAACGCATATAAGGCATGGCTTTACGTACACAACCTGCTTGGCATGCTCAGCAAGCGCAATTGGGAGAAAAAAACAAGTTCTCCTAACTGTCTGCCTGCTCGCCGCCCTCAACGCGCCCATAAGTTGGCGCAAAGCGCACTAGGCAACTCCATCGCATGGTCCGGCTGACAATTCCATTTGGATTTACAGATCATTTGCCTCCTTGAAGGAAAGCTTGCAAAGCTCCGCCATCAACTAGACAAGTTGGCCAAACAAAACCAGATGCAGCGCAAACACCTCAAAAGCACCTTGGGCTGCTCACGTGGGCCACGAGCACGGCCAAGGGGGCTTGCGTTCCATCCCGCCAAAAGATTGGCGCGGCTTCCGAGAGTGCCTTACTCAGGAAGCAATACTAGCCCGGCAACCATTGGGCATGTGGCTGCCCGCAGGCTCCAAGCTGCCAGAGGTCGGCTCGCAAAGCATCACACGCAAGGCGGACGTACAAGTAGTGCCTCCTTCGAGCAAGCCGCAATGGGTCAGACGTCAGACTTGCCGACCCATCCCGCAGCGAGACACACCTACGGACAGAACTGCTGTGGCTTCCAGCTTGCTTCACGCGCGACCAGTGGCGCGGCGTGAGACAATCTCCCATGCTGCGCTGCATGCCCGCAGCAAACGCCATGGCATTGTTGGCATAGGCGGATGGATAAGTGCATCCTCTCCCGAGGTACGCAAATGTTGGCCTCACCCTTTCAAATCAGCGCAGCCATACATTGCATGCTTCGAAATTGTAGCGCGCCTCGCGCTCGCCAATGGTGGCAGGCAGACGCATGCAGTGCAAGCGCTTCAAGTTTATCCTGCCCACAGGATAAGACAATTCCGCAACCGAAGCCGGAATTGACAAACTCTTCACAACAACAGAGCCCCTGGTAGACTTCTTGAAGTTAGTCGCAGCGTGGTCAGCAGTACACAACGTGCAACTTTCTCTGTCGCACGTGGCAGGAAAGAAAAACGTCTGGGCAGACGAGCTTAGCCGCAACAACTTGCAATGCCTTGCGCACAGACATTCAGAAAGAGAGCGCATCTCTCTGGCATCGCTTGCAAGCCCGCAGGGCATTGTCACGTTGCACCCCTGCGCCGCAGCTTGGCCAGACAGCTTTGACAGCTTAGTAACAGCGCAGTCTCCTCTGTGAGCGAACTAAAAGAGACGTCCGAAGCTTGCCTTTTTGCTTGCAACGCACGCCAACCTGCTGACAACATGCCTGTTGCTCTCCTGCCAGGTACAACCACCTCTCGACGGAGGGGGTTAGCAGTAGCGACTACAAAGAGGTGCTCGAACCTGAAGATGGTCTGTACATGCTGCCTTGCAACAGCACAGTTCGAGCACCTCCCGCGTAAAAGAGAGTGAGCGTCCGCTTTTCTGCTGTGGACAAGTGCAGGGAATGACAGTTGAACCTTATAGGGATACGTTTCGGAAATGTTTTAGATTTGTGAGTTTTGCTCACCTGGTTTTGCAAACCGTTGCATCCTCTGGGGATTTCCGAAAACAGAGCCGGCGTGAACAAGCTCTTCTCTACAGCCTTCCCTCATTGCTTCTTTCTGCGCCTGGTGGCATCCTGGTCGCATGCGCACCCCGTAGCCTTATTCGTGTCCCACGTCTCGGGACAGAAGAATTCGTGGGCAGACGAGCTCAGCAAAGACACATTTGAGCGCTTCACGTCCAGACCCCAAGCCCGCTTTTGCGTCACGTTGGCGCAACTGTGTCAGCCAGAAGCCGCCGCGCTCCATCAGTGTCACGCCTGGTGGAGGGAAAATTTTGTAGAAACCTCAACCCGACTTCAAACTCACAGGCTGCGCAGGGAAAGTGCTTGCGCTCAGCGCAGCTGCCCCTCTGCTCGAGCCCTTCACACGGTGCAAGCAGACACTGGAGGCCTGAGTCCTTAGCCCTGCTCTCAGCGTCAGCCTGCCCAGAGCTTCAAAACTCCGCCTAGACCTGCAGGCCCAAAAACCAACCCGCTTAGGCCGCCGCCTGCCTTGCGCCACAACCCTCACGCGGAGGGGGATCATGGGGCAGGGCCGCAGCCTCCCGCAAGGACAGGGTTGCTTTGAGTTTCTAGAGAGGGGCGAAACGGACGGCAGAAAAGTTTGTAACCTTTCGGCCTCCAAGCCGTTTGAGCACGACATTCAGAGCAACCCAAAGAAAAAGAGAGGTACATACTGTTGTGCTTGCTGTGGTGGGTCGTGGACAGGAGCAGTGCAACCACACACAACAGCGGATTCTCGCCAGGTGCCTCAGGCGCTTGTCTTCCCGTGGCGTTGCCAGCTGGTTTTGTTCTGCAAGAAGCTGTTCAACTTCAGAATGCTGAACGCTTTGGTTCTGGGTCTGATACACCTTGACCTGGCACAGCTCAGTCGTGATCTCACAACAGAATATTTTTGTGTTCTCCGCATACTGTGTCCAAGGCGGCCACACTCGAATCCCAAATAGCTGGAGGGAGTCGTTTAATTTGTTTCTTTGCCAAACCAAATTTGAGATCTATTGCCCGCAAAAGCTGCAGTGCATCTTCAATTCAGGCACAATTTTTTGAAGCTTTGTGAGCCATACTTCCTTCAATTCGGAATTCGGCCATTTCCATGGGTTGCACTACCAGTGCAAAGAGGTACCATCAACATGATTCCGTTTGGGTTCTTCCGTGAAATATCAGCAGGGGCATCTGTGGGTGGCTCCTGTTGTTGCGGCGCGTGGTCGGTTTCTCCACTGCTTGTCTTGTGTCTGTATCTACCAGGTTCTGAGACAGGTGATCATGTTGTTGTGGTGAATCTGGTTGGGTTTGCGCATCTCCTGCCACAGGCTGTCGTGATAACATGATTAGGGAACGCAAGCCATGATGGGAGTTTTAGCTCGCAATGTTTGCGCCGCGGCACATCGCCCGTGGCATGTTCATGTTGCTTGTAATGCTGTGGGTTCAGTCCCTGCTTGGATGCAGAATAAAGTCGGTGAATGTTCTGCCAGCTTTCAACTTCGGACATGTCACACAACATTCTGATGTTCAGCTGCGTTTAACCCTGTTTGTTTCGCTCATGCCACGACATGTCCCTTGAAAGTAGCACGTGGCAAATCCAATGCTGCTTTGCAAATCGGGGGCACATTTGCTTTCACAACTTCCTCTCGAAAATTTTGTGAACACCGAAACACAGAAACAGTCACGCGTGACAAACCTGTTTTTTGTTTTTCATAGCTGTCATCCTAGCAGCGCACAATTCAAAGGAAAATTTATTGTTGTGACTTTGCCATTGCATGCCTTGGTTTTCATTTGACATGTTGATCAACGAGTGCACTTGACGAGCGCCTTGCGCGAGCGTCAGCACATCAAGCCCCAGAAACGCATTTTCAAACCTGAATATTTTCAGTCCTTGCTTGGACGCAGAAGAAAGTCGGTGAATGTTCTGCCAGCCTCAATTTCGGACATGTCATACAACATTCTGATGTCCAGCTGCGTTTACACCTGTTTGTTTCGCTCATTCCCCAACATGTGCCTTGAAACTCGCACGTGACAAATCCAATGCTGCTTTGCAAATCGAAGCTGGAACACACTTGCTTTCACCAATTTCTGTCAACAAAATTGTGAAACCCAAAGACTCAATTTTGGGTTCAACAAGTTTTTTATTGATAAAATTTGAGCCTGCAAACTTTCGTATTCCTTGTGGGTAGGCCATGTGAAGATGTTTTGCGCTTGCAGCCTTCCACCCAGTGGTGGGTTAGGCAAGAACCTTTCTTTTTCCCACCCACCCCTGTGTAATCAACTAATGACCATGGTGTACCCTTTAGCTGTTGTTGCTGGCTAGCAGTGTTGACTTTGCACTAGGTGCGGACGCGAAATCTGAGCTGTCGGTAATTGCAAATTTTGCCAATGTTACCTTTTGAAATATTCATGAGCAGAACTACTATGATTATGTGAAGAGCTCATTTTGGTACATGGCCTGATTCAAAAAAATGCGACTTGCAAGCGTTTGGAAACTAATGAATAAGAGAATTAAAGCTCACAACTGATGCGAAAAGTTATTCAAAGCTAAGACCTGCTTCAATGAACAACTGTCTTTGCACATGCAGCCTGGCTGAGCCACCAAATTTGCGATTTTGTTTGGTTGATGGGTTTTAAACACACATGTTCAGTTCGCCGCAATTCGTTTGTTATAAAATGTGCATGTACGTAGTGCTTGCATGTGGCGCTTGCACGTGATGCTTGGTTTTGAAGCTTGGGATCAAATATCAGTTGTGTTCAGTCTGCCCACGAGGGTTGATGGCTGGTAGATATGTTAACGAGGCAGGACCACGAATAATCTTTGAAGATTGAAGGCGCGTGGGATGTGCACCATGCAGGATACCGTCGAATCTGAACGTCCATTAAAAGTATGTGCGGAGGACAATGCTTTGCATGTCGCAGTGTTGTTGCAGTGTATTTGGCAAAATCTCTGATTGAGGCAGGCAGAAAATGTGTGCGAAACATACACCAATATCCCGTCCTCTCGGCCGAGCTGCCTGCTTGCACTTTTGCTTTTGGACTTGTTCCGGCTCAACGTTGACAAATTGCGGTTCGACTGAAGGTGGATTGCTTTAGTGGATTCCCTGAAGCAGCTGTCAAGACTTGTCTCCGACTTAGCAATCTGTAGAGGCTGCCTGGTCGGAATTTGACATGTAAGTCAGATGCAATTGTGCCAGGTGCAGCTCGAAGGCAGAATGCCAGCAAATCCCAAGGCTGTCATTTTGCATTTGAGCCTTTGGATGTTGCTCCGCCGATGTGACCGGGCTATGCTTCGGAATTGGTGACAGAACTTGTGTCTGGGCTTGGTCTTGCGCAGGTTCTTGAGGCTCAAGGACGAGACATGGCCTCAGAAGGAACTCTCTGGGACCAGGACTTTGTTGTCTTTTGCACGGCAGTAAAGTCTGAAGCTGGCTTGTTCATCGTCAACGCCAGGAGGCGCACGAGAATGCAATTCGCATTTTGGTCGAAGAAGCTAAAGTCAACCTATGTCTCAGGAGTACCGCAAGTACCGCAATGCATTGTTTAGTCTCAACCCTGATATCGTCTGATTTTTGGTAAGACTTGGCCTGCAGGATGATGTATGACTTCAAGAAATGGCAGCAAAATCCAGCCGAGAGGCAAGCAACAATTGAGGAAGCCATCAAGGCAGACTTGCAGTGTGTGTAAAATGTCATATGCCTGACATGCTTCTTGCTTTGTAGCTGCTGCAGGCTTACGACTCCACAGAACTGCAGCTCGAACAGAAGTGCATTCAGTTTGAGGATCTCCACTCCAGAAATCATGGGTTCTCCAGTTTAGAGGTGCAGCCACCTGCTTGCAGGAATGCCTGGGCACGCTTCTTCGGAAGGCCTTCATGCATGTGGCTTTCTCAGTTCTCCCCTCCGGTCGTACCACTAAGCATCACTGGTGTTCACAAGGTGGAAACCTTGCAGCTTATGGACATTCCCCTGCTGATTGAGCATTGCGCTGGGGACTGACAGCACCTCGAATTGTGCACCGTTTTACTCATCCGCGAACTTTTCCATCAGAGCGTGATGCGGCTGAGGTGTTCATCCTCCAGGGCTGCTTCAGTTCACTCGGTGACAGTCTAGGAGACACTCGCCTCCAAGAATCCGTGGTCTTGTGCCCCTATTGGCCCTACTGAGTTCGACGGGTCCAAGGAGATGTGGCCCGTGCACGCTAGTTGTTTGAGATGCTGCCTTGTGGGCAGGTACTACTTTGGCTCCTTGATGAAGCATGCCGAGGCAGGATGGAGGGAAGTCTGGGCACTACGGTGCGGTGTTTCCCGAAAGACAGGCGCTGAACAACTCGGAGCTGCTTGCACGGAGCCGGGAGCTTCAACTGGTGGAGCTGGCGGTGAGCCACTTCCTCCGCTTCGCAGACCAGCCTCCCGGCCTTTTAAATACAGTCTCACCTGCTTAGTGGGAACGCAGGTTGCCTTTTCTTTCCGCTTTTGTGCCGGAAGCTTGGCTGTCAGGTTTCAGGAAGATCTGAAGCTTAGCCTCGCAGAAGGGCTTTCAGTGCTCTGCTCAGAAGATGCCCTATGCTCCTCCTGATTAGTCCGCAAATCATCCAAAGAAGCGACCTACAGGCAATGGCTGATAACGAGGATTTCATGCTCCTCGCTCAGCATGACATTGTGCCTTGGCATGGTGGCGTAGCAGAATCTCAATACTAAGGACCGAATGGGAGTCCTTCTTCCCAAGCCCAGATGTGTGCATCCTAGCAAACCTAACAGTCCTTTTTTGTGGCTGCGGATGTCCTAGCATGCTTCCATGAGGCGAAAGCGACCTTCTTAATGCTTCAAGAAAAGCTAACAACTCCTATCTTGGAGGCGCCTTTGGGATTTCAGATTCTTACTGTAGTCCTGGTGCATGAGTTTGTTTGACGGTTATGGAGGGTAGCAATCTGTAGACTGACAAATGACGACTCAGTAAGGGAATCTTCACGGGTTCCATTTTAGGGCGTCCTGATCTGAAGGTTTGCACTCCACATTGTTCACGTCTGGGTTTTTTACTGTTGAGGTTTCGTCGCTGCACTTTCGCAACTTTTTTGGGCGTCTTCGTGTCTGGAGAGTTTGGGGAAATGTGGGTTGTCAGGGCTCAGGGCTTAGCGTGAAGGGTTCAGGATTTGAGGCTTAGGGTTTTGGGTGATCATGTAAGGTGCTTTCAAATACTAGGCATTCTGAGAACTACGGCGCGTACCTTGCTGGCAAAAAGCGAAGTGCCATGCTTGGCCAGGAAAAGCCAGAAAAGCGAAGGGAAATCAGACCTCTTTTGGACTTCTTCAATGCCATCAAGCGTTCCATGTGGCTTGCTCGGGTGAGGGTGACATGGTGATAGCTGTGATGCAGACAAAGGCTCAGGTAGCTCTGTTTGAAACTGCTCCAATCAGGCCATGGCGGATTTTGAATTGGTGCATACCAAGGAGGGCAGTAGTACCCATGGACTTCTTGTTTAGTTTTCGCACTTGCTCATCAATGACTGTAGTAAACTCCGAGCCCTAAGCCAGCCTCTGCATCTCAAGCAACAGTTGTCTCCATATTATCTCATGTCCCTCAGCGTGCTTTAGTCCCATGTTCTGGAGTGCTGAGGTGAGGCCATCAGCTGGTCTCGTGAGGACATTTGGAAGATCTAGTCTCCCAATATGATGAGCTAAAACACACACCCGAATGGAGCAGTCTCTATCGAAGGACACCACTAAATTGGACCCCGCAAGTCAGATATCCGTCAAGATTGCAGCTGCAGTTTGCATGGAGTGCAACCATGCAATCATTTCATCTTTTTGTCGCATGCTCCGGCCACAGCTTCCTGCTTTGAAAGACAGTGGATTTCTTTCAACGGGCACTAACTTGACAGGACTGCCGAAGCCGGACAAACAGCTGGCACTGTGCATAGAAGATTTGCTGACTTGGCTGTGAAGAGGTCCCACTGTTCCTTAAAGTTTCAGCTTGTTTGTGTTAGCAGTATCTAGACCTCGTTTCTCGCGGTCGAAAACCTGGCTCTTAGAAACATGAGCTTCTCAAAGTTCAGAGTGAAGCAGAGTAGTCAGTAGTTGAATAGCTTGTATCAGCAGTTCCAGTGCTAAAAGCACACTGCGAAAAAAAAACCTGACCATAGCGCCTACCTGACAAAATGTGAGCTTGGGTGAAGAGCTGCGGCTGGATATTAAGCATTGCCTGCCATGAAACATGGACATTCAGGGCTTGTCCCACGTTTCAAGCTATGAGTTTGTGTTTGGAAGGATCACATAGCCAATGGTACGATTTTTGTGGCCGTGGAGCAGCGCAGCACCTATAAGGGAGTGGGTTCCAGTGTTGCAGATGCGGCTGTGCAACTACTTCTCAGGGGATGTGCGAAAACAACTGCATCCCTCGTGTGGAAGGATGCGGTGAATGCTTGACAGGCATGCGCTGAGCCAGCACAGATGACGTCATCTTTGTTCAGGGTACAAATGGTAGGGTTATCTTACATCGGTCCGGTTTTTATGCATCGATTGAGCGTCTACTTGGGGAAACCATGTCTTGGGCTTGGCCACTCCTTAACAACATAATCGGGAAAGTCTTGTTGATGACAGCGTCTGCATGCAGTTTGGCGGTTTCAGCGTGACATCCTGGTGTCTCCTAGCGTTGCATCGATTGAGTGTCTACTTGGGGAAACCATGTCTTGGGCATGGCCACTGCTTAGCAGCATCATCAGGAAAATCTTGTGTATGACAGCGTCTACATGCGGTTTTGCGGTTTTAGCGTGACATCCTGGTGTCTCCTAGCGTCAATATTTGGGTGGGCTCCTGTCATAAAATCCACCTAGTAAGTACAGGATTTCTCTCGCGTACTTGTAGCGAAATCCCTAGCAAAATCAATATTTGGTGGGCTCCTGTTATAGAATCCCCCGGCAAGTACAGGATTTCTCTCCGGTTCCCGTAGATGAAATGTCTACACACTCTTTCCGGCTCTTCCAAACGCAGCGTCTCTTTGGGGATTTGCTGGTGTAGGGTGGCCAAAATGCATGCGAAACATACTGCAAACGTTGGCGTCTGCCACCTAAGAGTCATTTTTACACCTTCTGTCCGGCTCTTCAAAATGCAGCATTTTCTTGGGGATTTGCATGTGTATTTTCCCCAGTGATGTAAGTTTTCCCTGACGCAGCGTCTACATGGGGAGATGTATATTCTCACCGGCTGATGTGTGATAACCCCGGCACTCGTACCAGATGTTTCAGACAAGCCAGCATTTTCATTGGTCATGCCATTTTTGTCAGCTTCAGTGTGGATCTCAAGCTTGTACGGGTGCGCTAAGATGGGAGTGTTGTTATGCTGAGATTGTTTGCTGTTGTAGATCCGTATGATTTGTGCAATGATGGCTACCAAGACAGATGTAAGTGATGTAAGCTGTATTGAATTAACTCCAGATTTTAATCAGACCCCCTATGGTGGGCAAGCATTTGACGTGCAAGTCCGAGGAGGTCTTGATACAGCTTTGTTAATCTCAGTTGTTTTTTGAAATCCTGTCGTCCATGTCAGGGCCTGTGCTGGCCCTAGTCGTAGAATCCAGTCCGCAGCCTGCGCTGAAGATTTGGGACGTGAAGCGTGAGAGTTGCGCCCACGAGACTGCGACATGTGACTCAGATAGCTACTTGTGGGCAAAGGCTGTGGCTGCAGACTTCACCACTTGGGGGGTTCTTCTTTGCACACGGAAGTCGCTGCTGGAGTTTTGGGACATGCGGAAGCTGCAATCTCCTGTGGCAGTCAGTGCGCCAAATGTTGGCGGAACTTCCCGGGCCCTGCGAGCCAACTTTCCGGCCAAGCGCGCTCTGTCGGCATCTGCAGATGGCATGGTTCATCTAGAGCCTTGCCAGAAAAGCCCACAATCATGCGTTGATTCTCATCGATTGACATGTCGTGAACGCAATGGCTGTGACTAAGGTTGACATTGATGCTGCGTCTGGAAACCTGAATGCCCTCAAGAGTCTGCCAGGGCACATGGATGAGGTGGTGTGGGCTTTCGTTGATTGGGGATGCGAAGAATCCCAATTCATCAGAGCCACGACCATCTCAGCGGAGCAGGATGTGCTTTTCTGGGATGTAGCATGGTCCAAACTGCAAGAAATTCCAGAAGAAGAAGCAGAAGAAGTTGACAGCCAGGGAAGGCCGGAAGAGCCCAATCTTCATCCGTACTGGCAACCAAGGCGCCTCTCACCAGGACACGCGTTTCGATCACGAGTAGCAGCGTATAATGCCGCAGCCCGATACAACCACATCAGTGCACTTACTGGGTCTGCCGATGGGCTGGTTCACTGCTGGAGTTTGGACATCATGGACCACGACCACTTGCAAAAAGTTGGAAGCCTGGTGGGACACAATGATCAAATCACTGGCCTGTCTGCAGACTGGAATGGCCGGTCTGCGTTGAGCGGCTCCCACGACAACACACTGCGACTCTGGGACCTGGCAGATCGGCGTTGCGAGGGGCTGCTTCTGGGCCACCGAGGAAGTATTTGGACCATGGTAGCCGACTGGACGGCACGAAAAGCTATCAGCACCTCTGTGGATGGAGCGCGCATTTGGGATGTGGGTCCAAGGCAGGAGGCTTTGAAAAGAGGACCGCTGGCCACCTTAGCAGTGCACAGCGGCATTTGTGAGTCTTTGGCAACCTTCTCTGCTGGGTCTGCTGCCTTCGTGAGTCGCACAGGCAGCATTGAATTCTGGGACCTGGAGCCTTGTGTGCGCATGTATGGTCTGCAAAGCCACCCAGGGACCCTGTTTGCGGTTCACCTGGGAGGACAGCAGTTGAATTCCACCATGGACTCCCGGGATGCAGATTTCACAGCAGATTCCCTGCAACCAACTGATGAGCTGGGGTGGATGGCTTCTCTGACGCCAGCACTGGCCGGATCCTGCACATACGGGTGGTCCCGAACAGTGCTTTGAGATCACATCGCTTTATTCTTCACATTGATTCACAAAGCTCTGGGCGCAAGGGCTAGCTGGTTGCTCGTAGTTCACCCAGATGACACAGTTAATGGACTCCTCACGCCTCTTCCGGCTGTGGTGCTTCAAGGTATCTCTTTCTGGCATGTGTCGCGCATATTCTTAGACCTCAGCACATTATCTCGATTGGACGTGCACTTCCAGCATCAGCGGCTGTTCATGCATGTTCCACCGGCTGCTAGGCTGTTCCAGCCGCTGTGAAAGGAGGTGCGGCTGATCCACCAGGGTTGCATCAGCGGTTCCAAAGAACAAACGATTCGGCATTGAGGGGCTACTCCGCTCATCAAGCAGACTGAGGACCAGCATGCGCTGGCATCGCCTGGCTGAGTGGGCCTGGCATCGATGACATTGGCTTGTTCTGCGAGGCAAGTGAAGAGGGAAACATTATTTTTCAATTGTTTAGATGGATCTTTTGTTGTTTCTGCCCTAGGTTTCTTGGCCTTCTCATATTGGGAAGGTTCATGGACAAGGGGTCCCGTAGCTGACCACGATGTCTCGGCCGAATGGCCGCATCCGCGTCCAGACTTTTCGCGATGAATGCTTGGGTCCCCGCGCTGCCTGAGCGCAGGTCCGTAGGAAATTTCAGAACCTGCCTGGAAGGTACGTCGGACATGCGTGTAGCGCATCGCCGTGCCTGCCATTTTTCCTGCTGTAGAACGCAGACATACGCAGACAAAGTATCGTGAAGTAGCGCAACCATCGATTGTGCTTTCAGTCTGAATGAGCGAGTCCACAGTCAAGCTCCTTGGTGGCAGAAGGGGATGGCAGACAATTGTGACTGACATGCTCAGCAAAGTCCGGTTCAGACTCCGTTTGATTTGGAAGTGGTTGGGTTCAAAGGTATTTCAGTTGTCGGATATAGTCGAACCATCCACCTGTGGATTGTGCAGGAGTCTTCTTTTGGCTCAGAAATTGTTCGAGCAAGCGATGGCAACATGAAAGGCGACGTCCACTTGTCCCGCGGATCCGGCGGGACAAGCTAATGCCCGTTCGACAATGTTGTCCAGGCTCGCATTTTGCAGCATGTCCATGCCCAACTCAATATGGCAGTTCCTTTCGAAGGTAATGCAGAGCTGGGTGGAACATGAAGACGCTCAGGAGCTGGCCATCCAGCTCAAGGACAGGCTGATGTTTGTTTCTAGCTTTTGTTTTTGTGCTTTCTTTGGTTGTGAGGGCCTGCTGCGGGACAAGACGATGACATTTGACCAGCTAGCGTCCCTCCCTTGGTTATGGGACGGACCGTGGGATGTCGCTCTTAGAGAAGCCTGTGAGGTCATGCTACAGCATCAAGCAGGGCCACAGCCTCGTGCAGAAGCTGAAGGACACGAGCCAAGACGATCAGATTACGTCCGACTCTTAGCAAGAAACAAAGGCATGCAAGGGCTGTGCTTGAGGACCCAACCGTGCGAAGTGCGCAAAATCTTGTCGGTAGGAAGCCATGGCAGTACCTCAAACTCGTTGATGCTGATTGCTGCTCGTGGCAAATTCAGGTTGCCAATGTTCATCCAGCGCTACCCGAAACATTTTGAGACAATTGGTCGGAACCAGCTTAAGGCAGACGATTGCACTTGCAACTTGCATGCTGCTGGTGGCGTCAGCGCGCAGGCAAGAGCGCCTCCAGCAGAACCTGAACCATCAACTGAAACCACGCTCCAGGCGCGGTGTTGAAGTTCATCCATGCATGTGATATGGCGTGCCTCTGAGGCCTTCGGTGCAGGCTATGGAGGCCACAAGTCTGAAGCCTTTGTCCTGCTTGTTCACCACAAGCCATAAGGACATGGAACTGACGACAGCAAGGACCCGGAAGCAAACGGCCTTATGCGATATTCCGAGATTGCGCGAAACCTCCGAGTCATCCTCAAGGAGCCGCAGTCTCAGAACCGGTTGTAATTAAGCCCTGCAATTGGTTTTCCATGTCCTGCTGAGTTCTGGACCGATTTCGTTACAGAATTTGGATGACAGCTTCGCAGAAAGGTCGGCCCAGCATCAGCCACATTCCTGATGCAGATGTGTCTTGTAAAGGCACAAGACATCGATTTCGACAGTCGCTGGTATGTCAACGGAGGAGTACTTGCAAAGAAAGGAATCCTTGTTCGCGTATGATCCTGTCCAGCAGACAGTAAAGCTGTCTGAGATGAGCGTGAAGGCCTCAGAGACTGTTCTGTGTCTGACCCTGAAGTCAGCGTTGCAGGGCAGAACCTAAGGCCAGTGTTATGGGTGGAGAGATGGATGAGAGCTTCGCACACGGCTCAGGCTGTCAGCTCTTGATATGCTGGAAGTCGTGTCGTCATCTTTGAGGTGGTAAAAGAGTTTGTGCAGCTTGTGGAGGCAGCCGCTTCCAATGGTTTATGCACATGTCATGTTTGTGACGCATGAAGCTGGCAGGATGACTTTCCAGCATGCAGGTTGTTGCCATCAAATGACAGATGCCAGCAAACTACCTGTATGACGCTGAGAAATGCTCCCCAATTAAATCCAGATGATGCCATGGACGCATAAATCTTGCAAATGCCTTCCAGGGCTTACTGGATGTAGATTCATGACACCCCACTACGCTTTGTGATGCTCCCACATGCAGATTCTGGGCCCGGTGGTCTACATCTCGACCTTGTGCGGTAAATTCATTCAGAGGCTGGGACAAAGGTGGGAATGGTGGGAACCTCTATGTTTTGGCTCCAGGGTAGGGATCTAGGGCAGGGTTACAACCTTGTAACCATTGTAACGCGTCCAACAAGGACCATCCTTTTGAGAAACTGTTCGGTGTAGACAGGACCGGTATCTCCGTGACATCAGTGATCTCCAGCCGCCCCCTCGACCTGTTCAAGCGACACCCGGATACGTTCCTGATCTTGGGAGCCGGCAATGTCACCTTGAAGAAGTGACCTGCATGAACTTAGGCCTGAGGGTTTGTCATTCAAAATTTAGGGGTCTGTTACGACCCACTTCCTTTTTTGCTTAGAGCAAGACCTTAATATTGACAGGTACGAAGGCCTGCCAGAAGTTCAACAACTTCTTGACAAACCAGTCGCAAAAGCGGCCTTCTCAGACTCCATGAGTATTTCTCACTTTGGGTGCCCTCATCTCATTGCCCCCGAATACAGCACTACTGTTTCCGAAGAGCCCCACAGTGGGACCCTGATTTCCGGAAAGCCCCGCGAGTCATGGCCATAACCCAGTGCTTGCTGCTCTCGGGAAAGCCAAGGTCCAAAGAAACATGCAGCTTTCGCAGGCGAGCGGGCTTGAAAACGTCTTGAACATGACACGGTAGCGGCTATGGCTGAAAGACAAAGAGCAGCGCAGGAACTCCTTCAGGTGCCAGAAGTGATCACGGAAGATCATATTGTCGAGGACCCGCTTCATTAGACAAATCACACGGGCGCATGTCCTCGAACCTTCCAAAGCCTGCACTACTATGCAGATTATCAGGAGTTCCGTCGTTTGATTCTGGCGGATGGTCAAGATTCAGCTCCTCGGAATTGCAAGCGAGGGAATGCATGCTTCTCGAGGCTCAAGGGCCAAGCAGCATCTTAAACACGTAGATTAGACCAAGGTGTGGGATGCTTGAAGTGAAGCCTTCCATGCTGCGTCGTTGCGAGGTGTATATTTCGTCACTGTGCGGACGATTCTTGCCTCCCTGACCTGTTTTCCTTGATGTGCAAGAGGTGGGCTTGTCACGCATGCAATGGGACTGATACTGGTACAGCAAAAAGTCTATGTCAGAGTGTTCTAGAACCAAGCCAAAATTGCTAGAAATGTGGGCAATAAATATCTTGTAAACAAACAATGCTTTGCAGCCTTGTGAACCGAAGCCAGGCAGCGCTTCAAAAAGCCCGTGACTGCGATTATTGACTGCAAGCCTGCAGAGTTTTTGCGCAGGCTCCGGTGGGAACTTGCTGTGTGGCTTTGTATGGCAAGCAAGATTCCGGTATGCCCGTGGCAGGTATCCTGAGACCTTCGTGATGACTGGAGGTGGAAATGTTGGCCTTCGTGAGGCGGCCTCTGAAGTTTGGAGCCAAGTGTGGATGGCGGGCGTCCATGTCCGATGTTTCTGCAGGTGTTGGGTGCAGATGCAGTTTCTGTCCTGTGCTCACCCCGGAAAGCAGGATCATGATATTTTTGAGGGTACAGCATCTTTAAGACTGGATAACGTCACTTGATGCCGGTGTGTTGCAGGCTTGCACCTTAGAGTCTCAGGCCACCACCCGTGCGAATCAAGCCCACCATGCCCGCCGATGCCGCCTGAATGCAGGAAGGCTGAATGTGCATTTTTGTGCGCAAGCCAGCTTCTGGCTTGAGTGCTGTCAGGCTATGAAGGGTCCGCCAGCCGATGTGACCGACAAGGAGAGGCCAAAGTTCGGTTTCAGCTTTCGGCCCTTCACGTTGTTAACAGGACTTCCGTGACCTCGATGGAGTTTTTGACCAAGGAGTTCATAAGGCCAGCTGAAGAGGAACCTCATCCCTTAAAGAGTGCATGGTGCAGATGGCTGCAGGCTGTTCTTAAGACCCTAGAGGCCGTCCGATGTCAACTAGAGAAGGTGGGTGTCGCGCTTGAGCACTGAATGGCAGTCGTGGTTCTAAAGTGCCAGAGAGGTGAGCTTTTTAGCTGTCGATCGTGCTGTCATTGGAGGCAGCAGAGCTCATTTAAAGTTGCACATCAAATAGTCCAGATGGATTATGTGTGCAAGTTGCTGAGGACCAGTCGGTCAAGGACTTCATGTCTGTCACGGTGCCGAGATCGTCCTCTTTGTGAGGCCAGGTGCACCAGTTAACCACGTGAGCTATGGTCTGAGCCTTAAAGGGGGTTATATAGGGGATTATTAGGGGTCATTATGGCGGATACTAGCACACATCATAATAACACACCCTCTTTCCCTGATCGAGTTCAAAGCAAACCACATAAGAATCAATGTCACGGTCATTTACAAATTCTTGAAACCTCATGGATTGGCCAGCGTGACGGTATTACTGATTTAGCTCCTTATCAGAATTAGCAGGAATTGGCAAAGATGTATTCCCGGAGAGTTGTGAGCAAAAGCGTTCTCATGATCTGCATCGTGAGATATTTGCATCCCGTCCACATCTTATGCTGCTCCCAAACGGAGCAGGCAGTTGCCGTTCAAGAATTTTCCGCAGTGGCTTCCGCACATTGTGGAGACGCTCACCTCAGCGCCGCTCTCAGCTCCATCCTTAATGCATTTGTAATGTGTCTTGCAACCAGATGAGGTTCTGCAATTCCAACTGGCTGTTCACAAAGCTGTCAGTTTCAAGGCGCAGGGGTCTAGCTCAGCAGCTAGCAGTTTTCCTTTGGCGAAGCTTCCTTCAGGCGGAGACGGACCATGTGCGTTTCGATCTGCAAGCAGACCGGGAGAATGTCCAGGTCAAGGCACGTCGTGAACAGCAAGACAGAAAGCCAGGCCACATTTGGCCTCCACGTACAGGGCAAAAATGGGCAGTCCCGCATTGAATTTGACATCTCAGATGGGGTGCAGTGCATACACCTGGGCAGGTCTTCCTCTCGCCCGTTTTCAAGAGCCGTGCTCACATGATGGAGTACCACGCTCATGTTTGCTAACTGGTGGACCCTTTGCTTGAACTGCACCACTGCTTTAGGTGTAACAGGTTTACTGTTAGAAAGCCACTTCTTCGATGGATAGGTTGGAAATCAAGACTTCATGAAAAATCTACTAGCAGATGCATGACAGGTGCATCCGGGACTCGCCTCCGCATGAGCGCTTCTATGTCTCTCCCGGTATGGTCGTTGAGCAGAACGAGCTCATAGCTGTCCAAAATGCAGAGGTGAAGGCATCAAGTCTGATGGAGCTGGCACAAACAAGCGCTTAGGTTTGGTAGTGTAGGATCACTGCGAAGGCCATCATGAACTGGATGCTGTGGTGGGTGTCGATGCAGACTTGGTCCGTGGCACCTTGCTCAGCCAAACTCAGAAAGTTGCATCTTTTGGCGGTTTGTGTGGGTCAATTGCCGCGCAGGAGTCTGATCGACCAGCCCAGTGGCTTGTCCAGCCAGCTGCTTAAAGGAAGTTTAAGCAACAGATCAATTCGTTTGCTGGCAGATATCAGCAGCGTATCCACGAGAATTCATGGGTACTCATACGTGCATGACACGAGGCTGCTGGTGGTACGCTGCTGCAGATCGAAGGGGCTAATGAACGATCGTGCCAAAGTGGTGGCATCTGTCCTGCGGGCTTTTGCGGATATCTGCTCGATCAAGGCTGTTTGCCAGTGAAAGCAGCTTTGTTGCTGGCTGTGCCGCTGATCTCGCAGGAGCTCTGGGAAGACGCAGGCATCTCCTGCTACAACGTCCAAGACATTTGGAAGCCCTTGATGGGACAGAAGCCATTGTTCATGGAGCGGTCCTCAGAATCAAGTCAAGACACCAGTGCTACATGGCCATGATTTTGGCTTCAGATGAGGACCCGCTTGATCCATTCCGCAACCTTCTAGAAGGTGCGTTCCGCATGAAATCAGCCATCAGTCAAAAATGAACAGCATATGGCAGGACATGCAGGTTATAAGGATAAGTGGTTTTAGTTTGTGGTCATAGCGAGTCTGATCTCTGGCTCATGCACATATGTGGGCGTTTTCTTTAGCTGGTGCTGGCGGGATTACTGGCAGCTGTTGTGGAGGTTTTGACTCCCGCGAGTTGCAGAACCATGCTCAACCACACACATGCTGGAATGTTTTCAGACGTGGTCTGCTCAGTGTGGTCTTGCTTAGCCTCTTCTAGCTTTTGCCGACACCCGGGCTGAAGAGGTCATTTTCGTAATGCATTGCTCCCAGAAGTGCCAGGCACACGGTCTCTATAGACAGAACCATCAGGAGTAAAGATATGTTAAGATCCCATGCTTTTCGTCTGCAGGTGCTGAAATTTGGTGCGGTGAGCCCTGAAGTTGGGTCACAGTCCTTATCGCAGGCTGAACGGCCTGCAGTGCCCCTTTTTCCTTGCCTCCCAAAGTTGGAGTACCGGATCTGGCAGCAAGGGCTAGTGGAAGATGGTGCAGTGGCGTGGAGATGGGGAGTCGATGTGCTCAACCTGTTCGAAGAGATGGGCAAGGGCGATGACGTGGTGCTAGAGGACAATGCCGAGGCCATGGTTACAGCTGCTCTGGAGGCGGAAGTGGCCGCCAAGGGGACCTCCGAATGTGAGGGTCATGCAACGGCTCTGGATGTCGACAGCATGGCTGCGCGACGCGAGTGCTCCCCCTCATACCGATTCCGCCGAAGCTGCAACAACGCCTGACCTGCCCGCAAAATGAAGTCTGGGCGTAGCTCTTTAGCCGTGCAATCTCTGGCTGAGTGAGAGCTTCTTCAGTTGAGGTTCGAAGGCCCCTGCTTGAGTAGAAGTGGGGTGGAAAGTTTCCGGCCGGACTGGAGTCCTTTTCGTGCAGGCGGAAAATGGCCGTAGTAAAAAAAAAAGTTGGAGTGGGGCACGCTCTCCGGTTGGAGAACAAGTCGAACAGAAATTTAGAGGCCCTTGAGGCTCTTTCTACCTGGTTTCATTTGTAGATTTGCATAGTTAGAAGCAGCCGCGTTGGCTCAGCACTCGTCCCTTTCTGCAGTCTGACTTGCAAGAATGGGGTGTGGTGCATCATCGGTGCCAGGGTTGACTTGGTTGGCTTTCACTTTTTGGCGTAAGCCCCTACTTGCCTGTTTGTCAGTAGCTCAGATTTTCATTTGTGCCTGTCGTTGCCCTTTCCTGCCTAAGGAGAAGCCATATGTACCTCATCAAGCTCCAGAAGACCCTAAACCTGCAGTAGGAGCCAAGCATGAGCAAGTCAACGTTGAGGGCGGTGGTGGCTTCACAGTTGCGCACCAGGCCGGCCGAGCCCACCCAGGCCAGGCCCTTCAAGTAGGCACTCTTAGTTACCAACAAGGCGGTTTCCCAAAATTTGTGGTACATTTTTGGGGGTTCCCATAATAAGGATCATAATATTCTAGGGTCGATTTTGGGGTCCCCCCATTTTGGGAAACTCAATAAACCAACCTGGCATCTTTTGAAGCCTTTGCAGGTGATCCAGTCCGACCAAAGGGACCTGGATTTCTGCCATTCGTGCGCTTCGACACGGCCGCTGTGGCTCCGCAAATCAAGGGCGGTGATCACATTTACTTGATCTTCACCTACTCGGAGGCTGCCATTGAAGGCAAAGAAGACGGGAGCGTGGCCGCCGACGACAAAGAGTTAAAGAGCTCATGTATTTTCCGCGTGTGGCGGAAAGATGGAACAAATGCAGTTTGCAATGATGGCGATGACGTCTTCTTCGAGCACGTGGACACAGGCAAATATCTCGAAGGTGCCACAGACACAAAGCCATTGGCATTGGCAGACAAGGACGAGAACTCCTCTGGCCAGCTCTTTGGCTTCTTCAAACAAGGTCGACCCATGGAAATGAGACACAGGGACACAGTTTATCTGCAAACTTGGCTGCACAACTACGTCGAGTACAGGCATATCTGTTGAAACAGTTTCAGAGGGTAGGGCTGGGAGGGTCCAGGCGTGCTTAGTCCAATTTGTCGATGTGAAAAGCATAGCTTCCGCAGGTACTTCGAGGACAGTAATCTGTATGCCAAGCGGTGGCAGAGACGGGAGCCGCAGACTCTGACCGTTCTCAAGAAGGCTGTCTTGGATTCTTCCACAACTGAAGTTGCTCGGAAGTTCCAATTCCAAGCCTTTGACTTGGATGGAAATGGGACGATCAGCAAGAGCGAGATTGACATGATGGTTTCGTTAATACGAGGCAAAGAGCCAACCGTAGAGGAAATCGAGGAGATCATGGTGAAAGCTGACCCAGCCCTGTCCTTAGCAAAGGAAGCAACTCTAGCAGCCCCAGCCACTTGATCAGAAACTGTATCCTAGTATAGGAGGAGCCTGATCCCATGCCTAAAGAAGGAAGCAACCCTTGTGAAGACCTCAAGCCTTGAAAGCCACTGGAGCCAAGCCAGAGTTAAGCCAAGGGTTTAAGGGGCGATATACTGGAATCATGCTGTCAGTTCAGTTGAACATGTTTTGTCATACTCTACGGGGGTTTTGGTCCTGACTTAATACGTCATTTGAATGCTACTTGGCTCGCACATGGACTTCCAGCCGGTGAGGGACTTGAATGAGTTGCCGCTCAAGTCCTAAAACTCAAGGTTTTGCACTTGGCTTGGCTGTGGTTTTTGTACAGAGAGTTTTTTTAATCAAGCCAATGTACCAGTCTCAACTCGCCTTCGCAGCATGGAGGCCAAGTGTTTGCTCGCCCAACGCGACACCCGCACCAAGACTTTGCAAACAAGCATCAACAAGAGTGGTGAAGCCTTTCACCAAACCTTCTGCTGCTCCAAAGACTTCCTGTGCAAAGTCAAAATGAAGATCAAGTGAGCAGCGTGGACGGACGACATTTAGGATTTGAAAAGGGAAGGCTCTGTTTGAAGCCCGAGGCGCACACGGGCAACATCCCCTTCCCATCCTTTGCTTCCTGGGCCGATGCTGGTGGTATGACGGAAGAGGAGTTGAACCATGCTGAGGTGCTGGGCTCCTGGGCAGCAACACCCCTTGTGTCTCCCCCAAATCATCTTACATCTGATGAAATGGGCTTTCAAAACAGGAACCTAGATTTTAGTACCTAAGTAAACGTAGTGTCGTCAATCTGATGGTTAGAATGTCCTGTGAGCAAGAATATTATCAGACCCTCGACTTTGTCTAGAGGTACCTTGTCAGGGATTGCCTGGATTCGGAGGTTCGAGCAGCATGAGCCTCTTGATACCAGCTGAGGGAACGTCGCACAGAGATGCTACGATGCCTTACACGAAGAGTCGTGCCTTGTTGAGGCCCGGGGACCTTCCCGGCCGAAAGATGCACTGCAAGAGTGAGTGTATTGAGGTAGAAATCTGAAAGCCGCTGCGAGTGCATACTTGTTTCGCATCATCATTCTCGTGGCTCTGTTGGGTTGTAAGTTTTGTTTATCCGGTGTTTCAAATTCGGCAAGAATTTTTGTGCTTGTCGGGATGTTGTCAGGTAGGCTTCTCAGAGAGGGCCCGCAGAGCTGCTAAGAACAAGATCAACGCTGTATTCGGTGGACCTGCCTTCTTCAAGGTTCTGTAAGGTTTGCAGCTGGAATTGTTTCCGCTTCCCCGGACACTCAGATGCAAAGCACATGCCGGACTTTCAGATGCAAAGCACATAGACAAGTCACAAGGTCAAAATGTGAGAAAATCACAAATTTGACAAACACATAACAAGACCAACACAGCGGCACGAAAGCACCCGTATGCGCTCTGACATTAGGTCATCAAGAGCTTCAGTCTAGGCGCCTAAATTCACTTCTGAGAGACTACTGGAGTTGTAGTTTAGATTTGCAGGCCTGAAATTATGATTTATGTGCGTGAGAGCATCATGCAGGTACTGGGCACCATCGATGGCATGACAGTCCAAGGTATGGTGTCTCAATACTCTGAGAACCTGAAAGCAGGACTGTACCGTGCTGCTCTGGGCCCCATCATCCGTCCCTGATGCAAGCCCAGGTACTCTTGCAATAGGCCCATTGCATTCCCAGAAATCAGAAACCCTTATGTGCATTTTTGTTGCTAGGAAGCGTGAGCGAAAGAATCGTGGAAAAAGCAGCGGCAGAGCGTGAAGCCCAGCCTGTGTCCTTCATTGAGGGTCCAGACCAGGCCGACAGTAGCAGTGTAGCTGCCGCAGGCAAAGTAAGCACTCTTGTTACCAGAAGAAGAGTGCGTTACTACCGGATACCAGAACCTCGTCGTGGTCACTGTATTCGCTGACCCGGTCGTCATTGTAGTGCTGCAACATCAGCATCATCTACGTCGGCATTGTAGGGTTGGGTAGGCGAGTAGTACTGGTGGTAGGGAGGGTTTCCAGAAGCCACTTAGGTCGGACGGATGGTTTTTCTCGGGCAACTGGAAGAACTGCATGAAGGCTTTGCTGGAGCCAGAGGTTGACCTTTGGGTCCGCTGCCTCAACGATGCAATGAAGGGTTGGGGCACAGACGAGAACTCGCTGTCGGCACTGGTTTGCACCATCCCGGAGCGCCTTCGGATTCCAATTTTCTTGAAGTACTACGAGACAGTCGGCAAGGGTCTCCTTGAACACATCGAGAGCGAGACGTCTTTCAGCTACAAAAAGGTCTGGAGCTTGGCGGGAAGGGGCACCATGCTTGGCCTGTTTGGCCTTTTTTTTGGGCAGTCATCTCTTCCTGCCTTACCTGCCTTGTGTTTTTTTCGCACCTCCCGAGGTCATGATGTGGCAAGCAATGTCTCCAGAGGATTGCCGTGCCAAGATTCTGAACAAAGCTATGGTTGGCCTAGGAACTGCTGAAGACCAGCTGATCCGAGTTATTTGCCAGCTGAATTTTGGCGAACGCAGGGAGGTCAAAGAAGCCTATCAGCGTATGTACAGCAGAGATCTGCTTGAACACATCAAGTCCGAGACGTCTGGGGATTTCCAGAAGGCCTTGCTCGTCATGTTGGAGGCAAGGTGACGTGCAGTGGCCGTGCAAGTAGCAGCCACAGTAACCAACAAGAGTGATGCAGGCAGAAGAAGCTCCATTCGACCTCGAAGCGGACTGTGCCGCGATGAAGGAGGCATTGACAGCTTTAAGCACATCAGATTTGAGGTGTGGACAAGCTCGCTGCTTGTGTTGAGGCGATGGAAGGTTGGGGAACGGACGAAATGACCCTCACCAAGATGATTTGCAACAAGACGCCCCTGCCTTAGACCACCGTTGCAGTCCCAATCTGCGATGCAGCCACAACAGGTCTAAACAGATGGAGGATGTCAATGCAAAGTTCAAGGAGCTGTATGACAGGCCGAGGGTTCTGCGTGATTCCTCGTGCCATCCGGGACCCGTTGCAAATAGCTGTAAATCTGGGCTCAGGGATTTGCTGGAGTGGGTCAAGAGCGAGACCAGTGGCTACTACAAAGATACGCTGCCTGTTTGTAGTTATGCTGCAGCTGCAAGATGGTGACCTCTGCAGTCAGGAATGGTCTGGTAGAGAAGGCATCTAAAGATAAAGTGTAGCTGGCGAATAGACATGGGCATTGAGGTTGATCGGCTGTATCCGCCACCCCATGAAGCAGTTGGCCCATTCCGTGAGGGACTGCATGAAGGGATGGGGCACGGATGATGAGGGACTGATCACATGTCTGGTGCACCTTGAAGACTTCAAAAAGGCCGCCCTTATCAAGGAGTACAAGACAGAGTTTGGTCGTGATATTTTTGCGGACATCAAGGCTGACACCAGTGGAGCCTACGAAAAGGCCTTGTGCAACCTGGTGAAGCCAGCTCCGCAGGTTTGGGCGGAGTCGCTGACCAGCGCCATGAAGGGCTTAGGGACAGCAGATGCGCTGCTAATCAACTTCATGGTCTTGGCCAAGGAAGACATGATGGAGGTCCGAAAGCATTTCCACACGCAGAACAGCAAGATGCTGGAAGACTGGATCGAAGCGGAAACTTCTGGAGACTATAAGCACAGCCTCCTGATGCTGGCTGGTCGAAACAGTGAGGAGACCGCGTGCCTTCATTCTGTATGCGGTGGCGTTGCACTAACGAAACTGTAGGGTGCGCATTTGCAGGAGACCATCAGCATTGCGCCGGTGTACTGGGCCCAACGCTGCAAGGACGCTTTGTTCAATGCCTGGGGCTCAGCGCACCTCCATCGTAGATTCGTTGTAGATGAGACCAGAGGCTCATTTGCATTGGCCAAGGTTGACACGGTGAAAGAAGTCCTTGTATCGATGCCCGCAACAGCCATCAAGAGACACACGCAGCTCTACGAGGCAGTGTATGGTGCATCCTTGAAGGAGGAGGCTCGGGGACCAGAGTCCCTCGCATGGGGTTTGAGGAGTGGGTTCTAACCGCCATCTAGACATGGACTTGAGATCACAGCCATCACTGTCCGTGTAGGGGCTGCTCTTCCTCCCAGTTTCAGCGGGTTTGTTGGAAGACGGTCTAATTAAGCCGCTCAATCATGTCATCTGGAGGAACGCATGAAAGCTTGCAAAGGCAAAATCGATCGGCTTCATGGAATCATTGTTGGACCATCGTTGTCCACTGAGCCTCCATGCCTGGAGGTGGAGAAGAAGTGCAACGAGAAGGGCACATTTTTCTTCTTCACCAACTGGTGGAAGCACGCGATGATGTCACTGCTGTACATGCCAGTGGAATTGTATGTGCTCCTCTGAGTTGATGCTGCTTTGCGCTGGCATGCTTGTAGAGATTTGATCTTGGTTGATCTTGGCATCCAGCCTGAGTAACACCTCGCGTAATGGCTACATGAGGTCAAGGGTCTTTGGGACGCCATGCACGGCTGGGGCACTGATGAGTACACTCTCACGGGCCTGGCAGCTTGTCCGAACGTTCTTTCTTCGCCACGTTTTTTAGACTCTTGATTTTGAGTCCGGCCCCTGGATCTTTGAGAGGTGTGCACGCTGCCTGAAAACCTCTACGACGAGATCCATGGCTTGTACGAAAAGACGCACGAGAGGCTCTGGCGGTGAATGCACCATATGTTCGCGGAGTGTACAAGCAAATCCCTGCAACTTTTGCCTGAAGGAAGCTGGTAAATCACATCGAGTCAGAGACCTCGTTCAACTACAAGAAGGTTCTGAAGTACCAGGCAAGTTTGCCTTCCGCTGCATCAGTTTGGAGGTATTGTGGCTGTTGCGGAATAGCGAAGGCCATGCCTTGGGCCGAGAGCCGGGCAACAGCCCTGCACGGCGCAATGGCTGGTTGGGGCACTGCAGAAGATCAGCTCGTGCGGATCATCATTTGCTCAACCTTCAAGGCCGCCTTTGGCTCTTGCAATGGTTGCTATTCAGTTACTAGTGGGGCTACACTGGGGTTATATAGGGATGATGGAAAAGAAAATGGAAACCCTAGGTCCCTTTAAAGGGATATATAGGGTTATATTATTGAGAGAATGAGATGGAACAGTGAGTGGAGCTTGCAGGAACGGGAAGTTATCAAGGCAACCTACAAGAAGATGCTGCTTGATGTCTATCGAGGAGTCTGAAAGGGGTGCCTGTGGGGATTATGTGGGAGGCTTCAGGTTCAGGTTGAGAATTGGAGTCATTTGTAAGAATAACAGGACCTTGAACGAATCTCTTCAAGGTCGCGATCTAAGTATTTTATTTGACTTGACGTTCCAAATCTGGTTTCATGCATAGACATATACAAGCGATGTAACTTGATTTCACTACCCAAGTCATAGACACTTAATTTCGGGGATGTCCCAACAAGGTACAGCAGAGACCTGATTCAGCACATTGAGTCCGAGACCAGCGGCAACTTGAAGAACATCTTGGTTGCTGTGCTCAAATGCACCCATCCCAAGGCCTCCGTTGACTATGACAAGGACTGTGAAAACCTAAAGAAGGCCATGGATGGAATAGGGACCAACGAGAAGGCGATCATTCAAATTGTTGCTGGCAAGACCCCGCAGCAGATCGAGACCCTGAAAGCTAAGTTTGAAGAAAAATACGGAGAAGACCTCTTCGCAAGAATTGACAATGAAACCTGGGACTGGGGGATGAGCATGTTCATGACGCCCAACTTTCGGGCTGCCATGCTGGGCTTGATGAGGTCGCCCTCTGAGCGGCTTGCTTGTGCAGTCCGGGATTGCATTGTCGGTTGGGGTACGGACGACACCGGCCTCATCACCCTGCTTGTGCATCTCTCAGAGCGACAGCGCCGTGATTTGGTGGAAAAGTACAAGGAGATCAAGAACGGTGGCGATATTTTCAAGGCCATCTCAGGCGACACCAGTGGCGACTACAAGCGGGCGCTTCTCGCGCTGGTGAAGCCTCCTCCCCAGGTCTGGGCAGAAGCCATCCTGTCCTCCATGAAGGGCCTCGGAACCTCTGACAACCTGTTGATCAACTGGATGTGCATTGCAAAGGAGCGCATGGACGAGGTGCAAATGCTGCAACATGAGAATCCCTACTCAAAACTTCTCAATAACTCGTTCTGAGAATTAGTTTTAGCTGTTGCTCATGTGTTGAAGGTAATGCTTTGGATCCAGCGACCCACTCAAGTTCCCTTTCGGGACTGCTATCTTTCTAATCGGTAGACAAAAAGAACCCGAGGAGGACTGATTTTGATCCATCCCCGTTCTGATGCCCAACCAAGGTCAGGACACATTTCCAGGAGTTGGATGCCCGCGGCCTGCCAGCCTGGATTGCCAACGAGTGTAGCGACAGTGACTACAAGGAAGCTCGGCAAGTCGGCAACTGCGGGAAGACGGTTAATTTAGTATTGGTGAAAGTAGGTAGCCAAAGTCATGCTGCTGCTGCTGCTGCCGCCACGACGCGTGCTTGTTGTATGACAAGCGTGTTGCCATGTGTTCATTGGTATTCTTCCTCCAGTGCCCTGTAACATGAGCGTGAAATCGGTGCACATAATTGGCAAGCACCACGCCTAATAATGTAAAACGGCGGGGCCCGGGCCCTTCGATTTTACCTTTTTTGCGCTGTTGGAGAATTTCCAGATCTGCTATACAACAATGGAAGAACTTATTTGCTGTGTGTGATCTTTGTGCATGCTCCTTGTTTCCAGCAATTTGTGAGTGCTCGTGAGTGCTTGTGAGTGCAAGCAGCGTGCAAGCAACGTGCCGGCAGAGGGAGATAAGAGGAAGAACAAGAGTGAAGAGACGGGGAAGCATAGGATCACCAATGCCAGTTTGAGACATCTAGAATCTAGCTCAAATTGTAATGGGAAATTCGTTGGAGGGTAAGCAACCATGATTTTACATTCTATGGGGCCTTGTAAAGGTAAAACGGGCTGGACGCAAAAGTGAGTTAGGCACGGGGCCTACGTCTCCAGGTATACTCCCTACATGTTCCAGTGTCTGTTTGTGTTCAACAACAAATCCTATGCCGCTGTACGGCCTCTGGCATTATTCAAAAGAACTTGCGAAAGACCATGCTTTGGTGATGTGTAGGGGATGGATGGAATGGGTAACAGGGACGGCTGCACGGAATTACATACAGCATACTTCAGGAATGCATGCCAGCATTGCAACTAATCCCAGAAGTTGCTGACGTCGGACTGCTATAAATGCTCTGCAGTTAGATCTAAATGTCTGGAATGATCTCAGTTCATAACGCGTGCACTGAAAGATGCTTCAACTAGCTGAGCCATGCTAGCTTTCCTGAAATGCAGAAGCGTCACATTCTTTCCCAACTGCTCCCCACTCCCTCTTTTTGATAGATTGAAGAACTCAACAGACGCAGCTAATCAGACCCGGCCTCTGCCACGCCTTCCGCTTGTCAGTGCCATGATGTCATCTCTCAGGACACGCTGATTCGGCTTGCCAACCGACGCTGCGAGCGCTTCGCGGGTCAGGAGGTTGGCCTTAGCATCGCGCCGCCGCTGACCAAGGAGGATGCCGTTCTGGACTCGGGCACATGTGTAAAGCATCTCTCGTGTGTAGAGTACCTTGAAGCAAGTGGAATGTTGTGGGAGTTTTCAATCAGCTGTGGACTGAATGCGCCGAGATTCTCAAATTCACCACCACTTTCAACAAGCTGTGCAAGCTTCGCCGAGCGAAGGGTGATAACATCATTCCTGGCGAGGAAGACCAGCAGGCCCCTTGTTAAGATTGCTTTGTGACATGCTTCCCGAACAGATGTACCGCAGATCATGTCTCTTTCAGACATGTCCATCTCTGCCCCCAGGCCATGGGAAATGCGTTCTTGTATTACGGCTCGTTGTCTACCTGCGCGCCGAACCTGGATATCCCAGGTCTTTGGGACTTGACGAACGCATGCGGTTTCCCACCTGGAGATGATGGTCCTGATTTGGTGGCAACGTTCCACGAGTGGGATGTGAGCGGCACGGGCGAGATCACCTGGAACGACTTCGTGCGCGAGATGACGACACGCATAAATGATCCCGGCCATTTCGAAGCTGATCCGCTCCCTGAGACGATTGATGCGATCTCCATTCCAGACAAGCCTTTGGGTGATGGCTACAAAGCTCACTTGAATAGTTTCAATGCTTCTGACAATGACTACGAGGAGTATGATGGAGAAGAGAAAGGTGCGCCGGCGCCACCTCCGGCCGAACAAGCCGTGGATATGTATGCAGCCTTCACAGATGGAAGCTGGAAAGATGTGCTTGCGGGCGTGGCGCCTACGGAGGATGGAGGCAGAATGGCTAAGCGGCTAAGAAAAGGGTAAGATAAGCTGTGCCATAGTGCTGTCTGTGCCAGTGGAAAGTGTGGATTTGCCAGGTGTTCTGTCCGGGCTCCGCGCTTACCTTGATGCGTGCAGTATTTAAACGCGTGCTCGTTTGTGCTCAGAACAAAAGTTGGGCGCGGCTGCACAGGCCATGGGGAGAGTGCGTCGCGGCTGCCGTCAAAGTGGAGTGCACGGAGGAGCATTAATTCATTCGTTTGTCGGGGGTCAACCCGAACGAGATTTGTGGATGGCCCTGGGCAGCCAAGCCAAACCATGGCATTTTGTTTGCTTCTGAAAGCGAAGGACTGGCAAGGCCGCTTTGATGATGCACCAGTGGGATTGGCGGCTCGTTCTGCATGTCTAAGGCTGTCTTAGATCTTCATGCAGGAAGATTTGAATCGGCTTGCCTACAGGGTTTGTAAGGACCAATGTTTGGAGAGGCTTTGGACGATTTCCTGTTAACCTGTTATTTGAATTCCCTGGACTGTTATTTGCTGTGCAGTTTCAGACGCTGCTTACGGTACCTGGCATTTCGTAGGTCATTGACTACTTGTGCTCACTGGGCCACGGAGACTTTGCGGGCATGGCAGAACAGAAGGAACAGGTAGGGGCCTGAGATGCCATCAGGAAAGCTCCAATTTAGCAGCAAACGTATTGCAGCATTGAAAGCTTTGCCTGAGTTTTGCTTGTAATTTCCCCTGCGAGGCCTGCAAAGCAGCTCTGTGAGTGGCATTTTGTTGCCTAAGACAGGCACTGCCACACATGACATCGTATGTTTCACTTTCAGCACCTACGAATTCTGGCGCGCCTCTCGCTGGAACCAGACTGGACCGCTTTGAATTATAGCTCCGGCAGGCCGCCAGGTGGATCTCCTCTAAGGGAAATCGATCCGAAACCGAGTGGCCTGATGTTTGTTGCCCACTGGTGCCATCCGTGATTTGGAAGTCGCTACGCGTGGGCTTGATTAAGAGTAAATAGTTTTGCATGAATGCCGAAGTCTGTCATGCCTGACAGTCTGAAGCAAGAAGTTGTGGAAAAGAAGAGACGTTGCTGGAGAATGTGGTGAGCTGAGCGATGCCCTTTTGAGCCCAATCTGATGGAGCCTGTTACCGTGGCAAGTTGCTTCCAAGCCGAATCATGAGGCCTAAAAAGCTTTGGACCGATCGCTTCATGGCAGACCCGAACAAGACCCCTCAAGTAGGAGGCACACTAGAGGCTACATGCTACATTTGCTACAAACACGGCATCCCCACCACCCCTGGCTGTGTTTCAGAGCTACACCAGAGCTCGAGTTGCTTATTTGAACCGTACACGCAAAGCGTATCCATGCAGCTACACAAGCACCAAATTGAACGTCAGGGTGCTCGTAATTGCCGTAATTCGTACCATGCAAAGTGGCGCTCCGTTGCTCCTGCACCAACCGGTGAGCGGGCTTCACTCGCTTGACCGAAGCTTCTCACAAAGTGATTGGCTTCGCAGACCGGTGCAACAGCGACGCTCGGATCGCGTTTGGCGAACTCCAGCGGCGCACTGGAGTCACTGGAGACTGTCAGCGTCGTTGCTGGCCCTTGGCAGCTTCAAATATCCGCGTGTTTTCCGACCTAATTTTCGGGCCGCTCGTCGGGCAACTGCAGAGAAGGCTGGATTGATGCCTGTGGGCTGTGTTTGTCTTGGTGAGCGGCTGCATGTCTGCAGGCCTTTGAAGTTGCTGAGCAGTGGCTGGGAAGCATTCAAACTTTGAGAAGAGCTTGCCCTGCATGTCGTTTCCGCCGGAGCACATGCAGCTCAGGTTTGTTTCGCGCTTCAATGATTACTTCGTTCTGTGGCTAGCGGTTGTGACCCTTGTTTCTGTTGCACGGCCGGCGATGCTTGGCCAGCACGGATGCAGAAGCGATTTCTGACGAAATCGCGCTGGGATGCAGTCCATATGGTGAGTTCCATCCCGTTGAATTGGAGTGTGAGTGTGAGCTTCTGTTCTGTTCCGACTCAACCCACTGTTTAGGGATGCTGAGGTTATGGCTCATGCTGTACTTTAGATCTCTGAGGCTAAGTAGAATCTGAAGAAAGCCTGTATGTTATGTTTTGAGCTTATATCCCAGGACCTTCACCTGGGTGAACCAGGAATGGTTCACGTGGCTTTTGGGCCTCTTGATGTTCAGCGTGGGCTTTCTGGTCGCATTTTGCTGCAGCGCAACCTGCTGTCTGCGTCTAGGGGAATCTACTAAACGTGTCGCTTGCTGGGGCTACAGAGCGGGACGCACAGTTCGCTTATTCCCAGGCCTAACAACATCTGTGGATGACTTCCGGACGAGCATTCGAAACTGGCTGGCTGTGGTAAGGGACTGAGTTGCAAACAGCAACATGGTTGAACAGTCACGACTCCGGTAGGTTCTCAGTAGCAGTACCAAGTAATGCACTTGATTATGTACGAGTACTATTACCATTGCCCTCGTTAGTGCCGTGCCCTCGTGCTCGATGCGTATTGCAAGGTCATAAATGCAGCCGCATGCTTCTTGCTCATGCCGGTCCCATGCTCAGTCATTGCACTCAGAAGCACCCTCCGGTGCAGCGCACCGGCTCGAGCAGGCCTTGGCGTACTCGTTGGCAATCCTCATCAGGCAAAGTCTAGCATTTTTGGGGCGGTGCGAGAGCATGATGGCTGAAACATGCTACTTGAAGAGCACCTAGTGGCATCATTTGCTGTCGCCGCGTTTCTACCAGGTCATGCCGTGCTGACAGCTCGTTGATGCATAGAAGAAAATGATTATCATGATCTGGGACCGAAGCCTGACCAGGGCGGATCCGCCAATCCTGGCTGGGATGGTCTTGATTGGGTCTATTAATGGGGGCCACACATCAAACTTGTGCACGCTGATAGCGGCGGCCTTAGTTGAGATCAGTCCGCATCTATCGTTCGAGCTAACCAAACTAGTAAGCTCTGAAGCCAGTGCTTCTGGTCTGCAAAAAGCACAGAGTCACAGACTACTGAGGCGAAAGGCGACGTGGCCTTGAGTGTTTTGATGACCATGTCTACTTCTCAGGTAGGATTGGTGTCTTCTTGGACGTGAAAAGCCTTGCTCATGTCATCTCATGTCTGGATTCTTTTGAGGTCCACCACTTTGCTATGTATCGTTGCAACGCCTCTGTTGGTCTTGCACCAAGCTGCACGGATGCTGGAACATCGATGACTCAGAGGAAATAGGATCACTCCTTCAGCGCCGCTGCAGTTTTACCCTATTGATTCCAGGCCTGACAAAAAGATTCCCTGTAAAACCCACATCCCCACAAATCGCTTCACGTTTCCTCTGCAATCCCAGCCTCTCCATAGAATGCTGGAAGCGGAAGTTCCTGAGTGCGAGCTTTGCCCCCCAGCAAGCACAATTACAATGCTTGAGGGGCACCCTACTATCCACTCTTGCCATCTCTTCCCAGATGTCGCTACAAGTATGTTCACATAAATGCCAAGGACCTTGTTTTATGGGCCCAGAAAGCGACCGTAGTTTCGGCGAACCCTTACTCAATCATCCCTCATACAATTCAGGCCAAGCTTCCTATATCAGAAAACTTTTCGCGTTTTATTGCAAGCAACCAATGGCATACTCTTGTATGTTACCTACATGACGCACACATGCATATATACATATATATATCTATATATGTAATCCTTGTATGCATCGAATTTTTTAACCCTTGAAAGTCAGGCCAAGCTCCTCCTTGGCACTGTGGTCTCCGTTGATGCTGTGGGGATCATCCTTTCAACTGTGAAGGCGTGGGGAGCTTTATGGTTCAGGGCTTTGCAGGCTATATAGGGTTTTCAGGGGTTGGAGGGCGCTAGGTTTGCGTACTGTGAAAGTTGCTGCTGCTTTTGCCATGGCCGTCCTTATTGGGTGTTTAATTTTTGCTATCGTCATTGTCTCAGCTCTGGCCTCTTGTTCAGGTTGTGCTAGCTCCGACCATCTTTGGGCTGGCCTTCAAGCAATGGCTTCCAGAGACGTCGGACAGGCTGGAAGCCTCTGTTTGAATCTGTCGAGACTGAAGAACTGTTATGGAGTACACTGATCACTGTTATGGAGTACACTGATCACTGTTGACTTGCAATATGCCTACCATGCTCGTAGTTAGCCCATTTGTAGGATTCTTTTGATCTCTTGCCAGGGCGGCCAGGCTCACTCCTGTCCTTGGTGTCCTCGCGACTTGTGTTATCGCTGGGGCCCTGCCTGCCTTCACCATGGCTTCCATTCTCCTTCTAGCCTTCTAGGTGGGGTCTTCAGTGGCTTCCTGCCGATCCTACATTCTCTCGGCGGGCCGGGGCCGCAATGCTGTAAGGGTTTAGTCATGTCTGTTGAATGTGAAGAGCTTGTAGCTTCAAGACGAAATTCGAGGGCCCTCTAGCTTCCAGGCGCCCCGCTTCAGCTGGCAATTCTGGGTCTCCACCTTCTGGGCGGCTTCTTTGCTGAATTGCGGCTGCAAAGCAACTCATCCTGCGTGAATGCCTTGTAATGATAATTGCGCATGCTAGATCCAGGCTTGGCCGGCTATGGAGTCTCATCCATAGCAGGGTGGATGCCTCAGTGCAGGAAAACAACGTTGGTGGCGCACTTGATGGCAATTCTGAAGGAAGTTGGGTTTTGGTGGGAGGTTGGAGAGTATTAATCGAGGGTCAGCTCGTAGATCCCAACCAACTCAAGAAAGATCTTGTACGGCTCCTGATGTTTGGGCTCAAGAGGGGTTGCTTGTTGTAGATCTTCCTGCCTGTGGAACAGCGGGAAGAGCAAAGCAATGACTGCCCGTCCGTCATGGGTGCAACCCCGTGCCGGGTCAAGATGTTCTATTGCGCGGTCCTGTTGCCCCCTGGGCTCTCCAGCAAAATCAATGGTTTCTGTCTGGCAGGAGTACCACCCTACAGCGCACATTCGGCGCCAGTGTTGTGCGCGTGGCTACGATACTTTCTACCTGGGCCCCACTGGAGTCCCTGTGATCAGCATCGATGATCTGGTCTGTTCACTCCCTGCTCTGCTGCGCAAGCTCACGTCTCAAGGCATCTTCCATCAAAAGTGAAGTTCGAGCTTCAAAAAGCATCCTTCAACAAGTTTTTTTTGTTTTGTTTTCGTTTTGTCTGTAATACCGTCTTTGCAGGAGGCAGGAGGCGGCCAAAGCTCTCCTTCGAGCGGTCCAAGCTCGCCTTTCCAGGCAGGGATGCGAGTGTCCCTAGCAGTCTCCGCAGGGATGTAGAGAGCTGCCTGGCGCCTGCAGTTCGAGACCACTTGGACTTGTTTAGGCTTCCGGCGAGCTCGGCGGCCTCCTTCCTACGCTTACTGACTGACGAGGAAGGTACCTGGACTCCGAGCCAGCAATTTCCTCACATAGATTATGCGGCCAGCTTTGCTGCCACAATGGGCCTGAACGACTTCAACGGAACCAGCGTTGGCTTTTATGCTGCCAAGGAACTTTCGGGCAACATCCAGCTTCAAAACCTGTCTGATGTTGCCAGGTACAAGCTTGTGTCTTTAGCACGTTTTCGATCAGATGGGATGATGTCTGTCACAAAGCACGCCCAGCTCCTCTTCGAGCGACCTGTTCTGCGGAATCGCATCATTTTCTACCCTGCCTGGGTACTGCACAAAGCACAGATTCCAGAGATGGTGGCCCGGCGACTGTCCGCAGATCCAGCATTCGGCCGCCTGACCTTGAACCTGTTTTATACCACCGCTCCTGGACAGAGATAGTCAGATTCTTTTTCTCCTCGTACCGTGGTCGCCTTTTCGTCAAAGCCCACCTGCGTGCCTCCTAAGGAAGATCATGTGGTGAGAAGACGAGAAGCTCCTGCCCATGAGCCATCGGACGAAGAGCTAAGAACATACCTGCTCGGGAGCAAAGGCAGCATGCTGCATGGGCAATTCAGCATGCAAATGCCCGTTCTCTCTAGGTTTGACAGCGTGAATTTTGTCCCGCTTGATAGATAGTCCAGATCATTGAGTTATAGAGTCCACGGCTAAGGGGTTGAGCAAAAATTCTAGGCTCCCTTCCGAAGTGCTCGAGAAGCTATTGTCTGTCTAAGCAACATTAAGCAAATTATTTGTGTTCCGCCGCTCCGCCCGCCACTGGTTGTTTCGTATGAAAGAAGCAAGCATGCTTATAACTCAAACTTCAAAAGCCCGAATATGAGCCTTGGATCAAGATGCCTGAGGCTGAACACCGCAGCCTGCCGAACGGTTGCCATCGAAACATCCATGAAGAGCAGTGCAGGAGACCGAGGATTGTGAGGATCCCCCCTCACTTGCGGTTTTCATGCAGGACTTGGCCATTCTAAACCCCTACTGTGGGTTGAGGTATCCCTAGCCTGTGGATAAAGGAAGCCTTACCTTCAGTCCTCCATCCTTCTTCAGTAGAATATTGGACTCTGGTCACTGCCAGACCAAGGCTGTGGGATACCTGCTAGCCGTGCTTCATTTTCAAAACTTCTTGGCGGTTGCCTCAGCTCTCATGGAAGTAAGGTCATTGGCCATCGGTAGGGGGTCTTCGAGTTTGATACACGGAGACTGACGTGTCGTTCACCTGAGCATTTCCCCAGACGAATCGTCTCGGATTTTTGCAGGTCCGTGTTCCAGCCGCAGTGAGTGTTGTCCATTCCTCAGAAGATGCTGAGCGGCTCCAAAAGGACAGATCCTCCTGCAGGCATTCTGCTTAGCCCTGCCCAGTTTGAAGATCCCAGAGAAGCCAGCTTCCCCTAGCAGTTTCACGAAGATCGCGAACGAGTCAGCCTTTCAGGTTTTGGTATTTTAGTCTTCTTGCTCTCATTTTCAGATCTGAGGTGTGGAGCGCTGCTGTGGGCAGCGCTTTCGCAGCCTTTTGGGGTAGATCGCGTACCTAGCTTTGACTTGTTCTGCATATGATCTTTGCAAGGACTTTGCCAAAAAACAATCAATTGGCTTTAGCACTCCTTCCCAACATCGCGTAGAATCATCACAGTAGCCAAGTCTCGCCCTGTATATGATTTTATGAGCGGGTGCAATGAGAAGTGGAAGAGCCAGGGTGCCAGGGCTCAGGAGCAATCAATATCCGTGAGCAGCGGCAAGTCCCGCTGCGACTCTTGCTTGCTGGGCCGGGGCACAGAAAATCAGAATGCATGGGCCGCCCGCAATCACCTGCAAGTCACTTGTTTGCTTTTCTACAATCGCGCTTGATTTGCGCAGCTTTGAAGCTTTGAGGGTATGCAGGATGCCTGTAGACATGGCGCGGTAAGCTGCGGCCAGGCTACCAGTGCTACGAGTCTTCAGCGTTCCTGAAAGCCTTTCCTGCTTGGCAGGCCGAAGATGCCCTACTTCTCTCCCTCTCGGTCGAGGCTGTGGGCGCTTTGCACTTCTGTCACTTCTGTCGGGTTCTAGTGCAAGTCAGGAGCCGTGGTGATCGAAGAGGAGGGGGCAGTGGAAATCTCAGATGAACAGCGAGCAGCGAGCACAGCCGTTTGCCTTTGGTTGCGATGTGCTAAGGACGAAGTCCTGCCAGGACATCTCCTAGGCCCTGGCCAGATGACTCTGCCAGTTGGCTCTTTTGGGAGCGTGCCTGATCTGAGGAGGCCTTCCAGGTCGCCTCGGCGGCGATCTCCACGAGACCGGCGCAGGCACTCGAGACCGCTCCGATGGTTCGCGAGAATTCCAAATGTGTTTGACACCTTCTAGGTCTCCATCCTTCAGAAAGCGGGATGACTCCCGACAGCTGCTTGGGCTTTGCTTGGCAGTGACATGGTCACATGTGGGCTGAAGCTCCTCTGTCCCCGCATGCAAGTGCAGTCAAGCTTGAGGCGACGTGCATCCCGATCGCCGCTGGCACGTGGTTCCAGGTCGGGCGGGGTCCTGGGCGGACGATTCGTTTTAATTCTTGGTGCCGGTGGATGACAGCAGAGCGCGGTTCAGTTTTTGGTTCGCAAGCCAGCGCTGAAGCGCCGCGAGGCCACCTGCAGAAGGCTCTGGTGCCAGGACGGGCTGCATGCTGAATGGCACGTGGTGCACATTACGTGGCCAAGTCCTGTGCAATGCAGGAGGAGCAACGAGAGAAGATCTCCCCTGCCTCGGGACCTGGAGGGATAGTTGAAGATTGCAGAGGCTCTCATGGCTCCTGAATGGCTTCTGCAGCTAGTAGGAGCGTAGATCCGGTTCGGGAACGCGTGCGGGTGAGGACAGTGACAGCCAGCTAATGACTGAGCTACCCGAAGTTGTCTCCTAGACTACAGGATCCTGGCTCCAAAGATGAGAGTCGAGCCGACAACTCCAACGAATCCAAAGGCACCACTGCTGAGATATGGCTGGTAGTCAAAATTATGGTCCCTTTTTGGGTCCCTATTATAATACGGCCCCTAATATTTAGGGTACCCAAAAAGGGACCATAATTTTGACAACCACCCATATGTATGTTATGTTGAGCATGTGTACCTATGCACTCCAAGTTCCGATTTGTGGTAGGAGGAGGAGAAGTGGAGACGAAAGTTGTGGACGGCATTGTGACTCGAGCAGGGGTCTGGTCCTCAGCCGTCAGTTCTCAGACCTTTCCTACCTCTCGATGACCCAGCGTTTTGGAGGCGCAGACGTACCTCTCAGAAATCTACGTGCCACGCCTTCCTCCTTTGCGGCCTGGCACAATATGTGTCAGAGGACGAGACTGGCTGGAACCCCCTACCCTTTACTTGGGCGTGGCTTCAATAGTTGCATCTAGTTGCGTAGTGGCAGGACCCCTCCGTTTTGAGAGGGACATTGCAGAAGATGACTGTCGGCGGCTGGCCAAAGCCCATGAGGAGGGCGGCTACAAGAAGGCGGGATATCTTGACGACCACGCTTCCTGCGTAGTCTTCCTCTTTGAATGGCAGTCGGTGCAGGTGCAAGAGGTGCGGAACACCCTTCGCGCAGAAGCTCGCTGAAGCTGCAAGTAGGTAGAAGCAGTGCTGTCATGCGCTGGGCTGGCCATGATCTGCTCGCTTGCCCCATGAAACCGACCTAGTAGCTAGCAGGATTGGACTTGATCTGGTGTGCGAGTAAGGTCATAGCTTGATTGCTGTTTCACGTGTCCCTCAGGATCCTCAGGCTTAGTGCTGTGCCCGGCCAGGCAGCTTTGTTTCCCGAAGCGGCACAGAAAAAGATCACCAAGTGTTCTGGTGCAAGTATTTGCAAGTGCAACTGCCATCGACTGCCAGTTGCTAATGTTCTCCCCCCAACTCTACAGCCGTCACTTTTGCCGGCCCCCTTTTTTCAGCAGCTGCTTAGAAAACGTGTGCTGCTTTGGGTGTCACATTGAGGCGGGCAAGCAGGCAGTGAGTCGAGTCACACGTGCACACCGCCGCGACGTGTACGTGAGGTGGCTCGGCCATCGATTTCACCACAATGCCGTGGTCTTCCATGCAGGCGCATCTGGGCTTCATGCCCTTTCATGCCTGATCTTAGTGTCTTTGTACCGTGGATCTGCCTGTTAGGAAGCTTTGCGAGCTTTCAGACGGGGTGAGTTTGTGATGGTCATGGACAGCGATGATCGCGAGGAGAGCTGTTTGCAGTGTGAGCTCATGGATATATATGATACTTCCAAGTACACGGCAGCGTGCTGGGTGCAAGGACGAGTGCGATCTAGTTTTCTCGGCAGAGATGGTCACCGTCGCCCCCTCATTCTCTGTTTGCAGGTGGTTGCGTTTTTGTGGCGCTGGTCGTGTGCAAGCGAGGCGTATATGTGGGAGCATCGTATTTTTTCAAACAAGGTCCACCCGTGTCCACCCCATCCTGGGGCTGTTTGATAAGGTGTTTCAATATCAGCAGCTGTTTTGGATGGTGCTCGGTAGGCTTTTCCTGTGGCCTGCCGGCTCTGGCACAAGTGACCTGTCGCTGCAAGGCCTCGCAAATGGCGTTTGCGATCCGCCATACGACTGGAATTGTTTGTATAGTCGCAGACAAGGCAGGGGTGTTTTGATTTCAATGTGGCTGTGCTTACGAGGCTGTATCATAGTACTGCTACTGGCTGTAGACTGTTTTGGAAGATACCGGACATTCACATCAAGTCGGCTTGTTGTGTCTGCTTTAGTTGCCGTTATTTATCGAAGGCTACACTGTCTTCCGTTCATTCCTCTGGCAGGCGAGATTAGAGCATTTTGGGCTGCATCCAGTGCTGGCCTGAGTTCTGCTGTTTCTGTGACTTGAAGGTTGAGTCGTGGATGGGGACTGTCTCTGACAGGGAGTGCTCAGGGGGTATTCAACGGCGACTGTCATACCAACCACCAACAGGGTGACCGTGAAACATGGCACGGTGAACACGTGAGGCTCCACTGGTTTCATGTCTCGTAGCTGTGTCTCAATGCTCAATGCTGGAACTGTGAGTATGTCTGCCGACTGTTCAGCTGCCACATTTCCTTTCATTGTTTCCTTTAATTGCCTTTTTGTAATGTGATGAGTCATGATAACTTACATTAGATGTGATAACATTGTGTGAACGGTGCCTCCGTATGCATTCGAGCCCAAGCTGACGTCTGCATGGATCATGTGGCCGCTTGCTCGTGAAGGCTTCAGGATCTGTCTGTTGGACGTTCCTGGTGTGGCTTGCAGCCAGAACAGGCAAGCAAGCGCCACTCGTCCACGACTGCCATGCAACGTGGCATACGTGACGTGGGGCTTGGTTGTCACCTCCCGCAGTTTGAGGGGCCGAAAGCTTGGTGCACAACGGGAGACCACTGCGTACTTCGAGAGCCTGGATATCAAAAAAACCAGCGACGTTGTTCGCCACTTGATCCACACTGCGTCACTTTCTGCCGATCTTGTGCGAGGCCCTGGCGGTTCTGGTGAAATGTCGCAAGCTACTGGTAAAGCTGTTCAAAAAGCTCTGAAGGTTTGCAAGTCATTTCTCCCAAAAGTCCTACGCGACCAAAGTAGTGTGTCACAGATACTGGACTTGTTGTGCGAAGCTTTGGCATTGGCTGGCCATCCGTCGTCGCGTGAAGCTTTTGCTGCTTTGGAGAAGCCACTGGTATCCTTCCACGAAGCCGCACCTCTTGCAATGCGCAAAGCTCTCCAGGCTCGTTTTGCCACCACCGCAGAGCCTTGGATGTTTTCGAAGCCTTGTCGAAACACCTGCAGGGATGTTCGGTTTGCAGAGTCACGTAGGGCATGCATTTAAACTTTAAGCATTTGAGGCCAGCCAGCTTGGCATGTCCAGGTGCAACCTCTCAAAAAAGTGGAATTGGTCAGGAGCCAATTTGGCCCAAGACGGACAGGTTGGGCAAGTGCTCCTCAATCCACAGAGCTCCAACGTGAGACTAGCTACTTGCGATTATGAGCCGCTTGCCACGCTCTGGCCCTTTTAATTCAGTGACTGCTCGAAAATACGCAGCATCACAAGTGCCTAGGCTGCAATGAAGGGTTGGGGCTTGACGCAGGTAGTTTGGAAGATGGGTAGAGATGGGTAGTCAGCTCAGGTGGCAGATGCCCTGCATTTGCAAATGCAGGGCCCCAAGGTCCCTCTGCCACCGATCTCACAGGGCAGCCTCAGTCTCAGGGAGCCAGTGCGCACAGCACGGCAGGCTACAGCCACGGCTACAGCCACTGCCGAACCGATCCTCCATAGCAAGCCCCAGGCAAAGCGCTCCAATGGGGCGGCAGGTCTTCTTTCGATGCTGGCCATAGCTATGGCAACCCTGGTCACTCGGTGGTTCCAGCCCTCGAAGAGAAGTTTATCTCGGATGAATCGAGCTCGGATGGCCCGGCGTTTTTTGAGTTATCAGTGGGAGGAAGCCGGGAAGGATGGACGAGAGATCCGCCTATACGTCCCCGTGGACGAGACGGTCAAGGAGAAGCACGTAGAGATCGAGCTGACCGAGAGCAAGCTCAGAGTTGGGTTGAAGTTGCGAGGGCAAGTGATAGATTCCGATCTTTATGACATGGTGAACCCGCATGAAAGTCATTGGTTCATCGACCAGCATGAAGGGCGCAGATGTGTGGCAGTTACGCTTATGAAGAAAAACATGTGGAAGCGGTGGGATTTCCTCACATCGAGTGAAGCCGCCTGCTGCTCGGCCCTCGTAGTGTAGCAGCGTAGCAATTGTCCGGGTGCCAAGGGCTGTGCACAAACATCTTTTGCGTGAACTTAGGCTTACGAGTCCTTGGCTGCGTCAAGACATTGCTTGCATTTGGTTGTCTGGCCCGATCCTCAGCTTGACAGGCCACTAACTTGCCAAGGGAAGCTGCACTCTTTGGCATCTTTGGCTGAGGTTATGTTTGTTCAAAAGCAGCTACTGGTTCGAGCCATCTAGACCAAACCAGCTAGTCCGCGACTAAGCCATCTGCCGTCTTGCAGCGAGCCGCCTGCGGATGTAAATCATGAACATGTGCAGACTGCCGCTGAACAAGGCGTTTGGTGATTTCATTGTGGGGGGTTTCCGACAATTGGGGGCCTGCTTGTAAGTCTGTCACAAGATCCCCAGAGGTTTTCCACAAGGATACGATTTTTTAATGGCCCTCGATTTTCGGAAATTCCCTTTGGATTTGGACTGGACGAAATCTGTGGACTGGATCTCGACAAGAGGTGACTTGGCGACACAGTACTAACGTGGCAAGGGCTGGTGCGTGTGCGCAAGAGTTTTATCACGACCGCAGACGCCAACGTCACCACGACCACTATCATCACACACCAGCACCACCAGCACCAACCAGCAGCAGCAGCAGCAGCAGCAGCAGCAGCATCAGCAGCAGCAGCAGCAGCAGCAGCAGCAGCAGAACCACCGGCACCACTGCACAACCACTGGCACCACTAGCACCACCAGCACCGCCGCAGCCGCCTGCACCGCCGCTGCCACCACCACCATCGCACCCGTCGCCGCAGCCACAGCCACCGCCACCCTCACCACCAGCACCAGCACCAGCGCCGCAGCATCACAACGCGGCAATGTGGCAGCCCCAGCACCACAGCGGCAGCGCCACCGCTGCCACCAGCCGCCGCCACCACCGCCGCCAAAACCATCATCGTTACAGCAGACAGCCATCCCCACCACTACCGTCGCGACCACTATGGCCGCCACGGCTCCCGAAGCAGCCAACACCGACATGATGGTGATTTTCGACATTGTGTTGGCAAATCTGCTTGGCTGAGGCCCAGGGCTTCATTCCATCCGGCAGTGCTGAGCCATGTGGAAGGTTCTACAGCCAAGACGCGGCTCATGCTTCTGCATTTTTGCGGATTCTGATAAAGTGGTATAGATAACTACTGACAAAATGAAGCAAATAAGATATTCTGATTGCCCTGGGAAAAGCCAGGTCCTGTTTCAGTGGAAGCATGCATACGAGAGGTGCTGTCAGGAGAATCATTGGCTCGCATCGTTGTGAGTTGCTGTGGTCAGGGCGAGCTCTACCTGACCGAGCGGGGGTTGGTTTGTCTTCGCAGGCAGTCCAAGCCTGACTCGGTCATGTAATAGAGTGCAGTCAGCTGCCCACAGCCCCAAGCCCGACCGTGCATAGATAATACCACCTCCACGCTGCACAATTCAAACACTTCATAGGCCAAAACGCCTAACTGCTAGTCATGGACCTCCCATCAGCAAGTGCTGCACGGACCTTCTCGGACAGACTCTAATGCTGCGCTTCTGCATGGTTCCGCTCACGTGCAAGCCGGACGCGGTTTCAGCTTGCATGCGGTTTCGATTTCAAGGCGCATCCTATCTTCCAAAACTACTTTGATCTGAACATGCTTGTTTTCTTTCAGTCTGCTGTTAAAGGTCAGCTTTTTTGGTTAAAGATGCCTTCCAGTTCCATGTTTCCGCTTTGAATTGGGCAGTGTGGCGGGCCTTTTGCGCATGCAGAGAGGCCTGCCCCGGCCCAGGCTCTTCCTTTAGCTTTTGACAGATGGTCCGGGGCCAAGCTCCACGACTCGTCAGATGCCCTAGACCTGAGAATGTGGTTAACTGTTGTGAAAGGTTTGAGATGAGTCTACACTTGTTTGCTTGCATTGTCGCAGCATGTGACTCGACTAGCCTTCGTGGGAAGGCGAAGGTCTGACAGTTGGCTAACACCACGGTCGTGATAAGAGGCATTTTGCCTCGCCATCAAGTCATGACCGCCCTGTTTAACAAGCATCCAGAGTACCCGCTGCGTTCAAATGAAGTCTGTTAGCATAATTATTTCATGTCACCCATGTCATCACCATCAAAATCGTAGTAGTAGCTAGTAGGAGTAGGAGGAGTAGTAGTACGTAGTAGTCGTCGTCGGCGTCGTCGTCGTCGTCGTGATGGTGGTGATGGTGGTGGTGGTGGTGGTGGTGGTGGCGTCGGCGGCGGGCAGTAGTAGTAGTAGTAGTAGTAGTAGTAGTAGGAGTAGTAGTAGTAGTAGTAGTTGTGGTGGTAGTAGGTCCGCATCCCGTTTGTGACGCCACATTTTCGTGTACCTTGCATATTTAAAGTTCCACGTTTGCCACGCATTTTAGGATTTGGTAGAGTCCGCGAGGAGGGGATTTCCTTTTTTTCATTATTTTTTGTGGTATCAATCTCGAAGTTTGTTTTGTGCTCGTGTCCAGAGGCAAGAATGTGTATTCGCTGCCAGGGGTTCACGGGCAGGCTTAGTAAGGGGATTGTGGCGGCCATGGTGCGGTCCCTTAAATGCAAATCAGAACTCCTCAAACACTGGGACTAATGTTGCAGGCGAGCGGCCAAAAATCTTGACTAAAAGTAATCCTGCCTAATGGGGCGATGATGAAATAAAGTCAGAACTCCGCAAACGCCTGGACTAATGGGGCGATGATGAAATAAAATCAGAACTCCTCAAGCCCCTGGACTAATGGGGCGTAGCTTGGACGAATCGGGCGATGCTGAAATTGAATCAGAACTCCTCAAACCCCTGGACTAAGGGGGCATAGCTTGGACTAATGGGGCGATGTTAACTTTCAACCAGAAATCCTTACACCCATGTATGCCAAATACTAACAACGGTTGTTCTCAGAAAACTGCTAAAAAAGGAACCAGGTGCGTTCGGGCTCGAATGAGCAAAAACCCACAGCAAAACCACTACAAATGCAAGGAAATCGTAGCGTCACATATGAGACGCGCACCTGGTAGAAGTAGAAGTAGTAAGTGTCGCAGTAGTAGTAGTAGTAGTAGTAGTAGAAGAAATAGTAGTAGTAGAAATTCGTCGTCGTCGTCGTCGTCGTCGTCGTCGTGGTGGTGGTGGTGGTGGTGGTGGTGGTGGCGGTGGTGGTGGTGGTGGTCGTCGTCGTTGTCGTAGCTGTAGTAGTAGAAGTGATGCTAAAAGTAGGAACAGGAATGGAGACAGGATGGGGTTAAAACGTAGAAGTAACTAGCAGGGAGGTAGCGTTAGCATAGGCTTCCTGCCTGAATGAAGCAAGGAAGGACTGAAGGAGTGCGTGGAGGAAGGCATGAAGGAAGGAAGGGGGGAAAGGACGAATGTAGTGCGTTAGTGGTGACATTCACAGTACTGCATTATTTCTGGCATAACTGCTACAGTATTGCTAAACCAGCTAAGTGTGCTTTGGGTGTGTTTGCGCAGTCCGGTGGAGGCTGCCTTGATAACCAGTCTCCGCCAAGAGACCAACAGTCCAACACTACCAACTGCAGATCCGTATCACGAGTTTCCAAAGATGGGGCGTCCTTAGATGAGGGATCCCGTATCTTGGGTATGCTTTTTGGGCCCCCCATCGTGGAAACTTTCTATAGCAGTCGGGAAGCACAGATGCTGCTCTCAGTGGCCGGTTAGATGAACATTCTGCCAGGTGCTGTCACTCCGGTTGTTGTTGCTGTCAGCTGCTGTTAGAGTTTTTTCTCAATTCCATTTTAATGGCAAATGCTCTTACTGTTCAACTCTTAGCTCTTGTGCTTCTTGCTCGGTTTGTACTACAGACGGTGAGCCCTGAGAGCTTTGGCCGCTTTTCCCTTCACCACAGCGAGTGAGACATAGACCAGCAGGATCATAGAAAAGGAGACAGCGCCTTTGCCACTGGCTTCCTGACTAAGTTATCTTGCAAGTCGCATCACTGCCTGAGATCTTAGTTTCGTCAACCAAGGAGAAACTGGTTGCAGGCGATGCGCCAGAAGAAGCACATCCGTTGGGTATAGCCCTTGAAGCCCTGGGAACTGCTATCCGTGGTCCAGGTGCAGTTTAGTGCTGGTGCTTTCTTTGACCCCACCTTTCGTTTTGATATCCTGTGAAGTGCTTTGTTGCTTTTTTCCCACTGGGTGCCAGGTGCTCTGTGGCACCTGTCATTTTTGTTGCCTGGCCAGGAAACGTGTCCAAGTGGAAGCCGCCTGAGATCCTGCAACTTCGATCTCAAAGCCGTTGGAAGATGCCCATGCAAGTCCGTGCCATGATCTTGGAGCGGGATGCGGAGACGTGCTGGTATTGTGGCGCATCCGGGGCGGACACTGTGGATCACTGGATTCCACTCTGTCGAGGTGGTACAAACAAGACGGTAAACTTGGTCTGCGCCTGCAGCGAGTGCAACGAGCTCAAAGGCAACGCATGGCCAGACCAATTTCTTGCGGCCAGGAAAAATGTGCGTGCACAGTCGTGGCAGCTGAGGGTAGGACATCAGCAATTCTGCATTCTTTCCCTGAGGCCACGCAAAAAAATACCGATGCAAACGCCACAAATTTCTACGTGTCCACGGCCATAGCCCAAGGAACTGCAAAAGAACCAGTGTTTGAATGCGCGTGCAAGTTCAAGGACTTCTTGCCTGCAACCTCGACGGGGGTGTCAGCGGCAGACCGCGCCACCACCGCCCGAGCTCCTGAGCGGCACAGCATTCTGCATCTAGTCGATTCGGGTGGTTCCGCCACCCTGCGTCAGCCAAGGCGATGTGCGACTTAAGCAACCGCGCAGAGGCTGTGCAACATCCTCATGGTTTTTGTTCGCTTGGCTTGCCATTGCTGTCTCCGGAGTGCTGTGCCAGGACTTCTCCAAGCCCGGCCACCTCTTCCCCCTTTGTGCTCGGCCTGGAGGGGTGCTCGAACGCCCAGGACCGTGGGTGGAAATTGCCAGGCCAGAACCAGGATGGCCTTGCCATATGCTAGGAATGCTAGGACACACCGAGTCCACCTGGGACTTCTGCCGCCTCGCGGGGTTGACGCCTGTGGGACTCCTTGCAGAGTTGGTGCCTTGTCAAGCTACAGAAGAGCAGAAGGAGAGAGGAGACAGGAAGAAGAGGAACAACTCATGCTTCTTTGCTTTATCCCTTTGCTGCAGATGCACGATGATGGCACCATGTACCGTCGGGACGACAGCCTGGCCTTTGCTAGCGCGCACAAGATTCCGATCGTGCCGGCCTCGACTCCACGAAATCTTGGTGAGGACAAGCTGCGTTTTCCTGGCAGGTGACCGTAGAGCAGATCATCGAGTTCCGACAACAGCATGGAACGATTGCTCCGGCATCAGTTTTTGGCGAGAAGGCTGCAAAGCCTGTCAATCGTGGTAGGCGTTGAGTGTCTGGGATCTGCTGCAGGCGGGACTGGCTGTGACGGGAAGCGCAAGCCCGGGCGTCGTCGCGTCCACGTGCGACGCAAGGCAGGCTTTCCGTCTGAACCATGCGAAAGGGATACAGCAGACGTAGATGGGAGCAAGTGGCTTGAGTTTTATAATGGAGCAAGTTGAAGTTCTTCAGAACTTTGGCAGGTCTGATGTGGCTCTGAAGGCGAAGCTTTAATGGCCAACCCAGGCGCATGCAGCGGTGCAGAGACGTGGCTAACGCCGTTTCATGAATCTGCTGCAGGGGCCAGGGGGTCCTTGTAGGGATTTTTGTTTACAGGCGTGTCCATACCATAGGTTTATCCTCGAATATCTTTGATGTGGGTGTAGGTGCACTGATGGCATGTGACGTGTCTTACCACATTTGTGGGTACTTGGTTCGTCGAGTTGAGATCCTCAAGGAAAGACATGATATCCTGCCGTAGACTCGAACATACCCCACCCGTGCTCAATAAGGAACTAGATCGGCAGGTACAACTCAGAGATGAAGTAACAAGAAGCCACTTAAATCCCTCAGCACCTGATGACAGGGAACAGTCGCCTCATGCTGCGCCATTTTCCACCTCCCAGCCGCCGGGCGCGTTCTGTAGCATTGCTCCTCTGCGCTGTCCCGGGGTGCTTGCTCAAGGCATTCACTCCTGGGATTCGTGCCAAGAGCTTTGCTGGGTCTTCAGGCACAATCCTGGCCAAGCAGCTGAAGCTACAGCATTTTCCACAAGGCAGACCGGAGCTCGTGCGGCGCCAGGCAGTCTTCAGCGTGTTGGCCGAGGAAGTGAACAGCAGACCGAGTTTCTTCTTTGGTGAAGTCTTCATCATTGTCATTTTATCTACAGGTTTTGAGAAGGCAGAGAACTGGTTGCGCAAAAGGCTGAAGTTGTCTGGTGATCGAATTGGAAAGGAGATCTTGGATGCACTTTTCAGGGAGATCACGATTTTGGGGTTCATTGGTTTGCTCTTGTTTGTGCTGACGCATTTGCTGCCAGAAGACACACCGCTCATTTCTTTCGGCGCTGATGAATACAACATCTTGCCCGAGACCTTCGAGTATGTGCACATGGCCACATTCCTGCTGCTGGTTGTGCTGCTTTTCCAAGGTTTCGCGGTGCTAAAGCTATCTCGCGAAACAGCAGAGACCTGGGCCGAGTACGAGAGTGCCCGTGCATTCGGAAAGAGCAAAAGGTCCATGGAGTCAAAGCTGGTTGAAGATGGCTATTTGGAGAGAGTGGACAATCCCTTCTCTGCAACCGGCTTTGAGCTTCGTGCTGTGAAGCCCTTTACCTATGGAACTACGCTTCTGGACCGGATTTCCCTACGCTTCAAGGAATCCCACAAGCTCGTCATGTGGCGTGCCATTCGCCACGGATTTTTATTCGACGGACCCCAGAGTGAGCTCCTGGTCAAGGAAGGGGGCGTGATCCCGGGGCTGTTTAGCTTCGAGTCCTTCCTGGAGCAGCAGTTGGGACAGATTGTCACTCAGCCTTGCCAAGTGAACAACTCCTACCACACACTGATAAGAAGAAAGCGTTCTTGGTAACACCGGAAAGGCAGCAGTAACACCAGTTAGGGGGGCACTAAAGCGCATAACAATCAGCGCATAACATAGATAATGCAGACATGGATCACAGACAAGTCTGTATTCGAAGAGCCTGGTTTGCAGGACACCCCAATGCGCTTTTTGGTGGTTTCCAGGTCCCAAAACACCGAAAGGCGGATGATTTACTTGTCGGGGAGCCAAATCAATCAAATCATCCGCTTTTTGGTGGTTTCTGGGTCGAAAAACCCCGAAACGCGGATGATCTACCCAGCAGGAAGCCAAATCGTCTGCTTTTGGTGGTTTCCAGGTCCAAAAAAGTGTTTTTTTGGTGGTTTCCGGGTCCAACCCGTCGGGGAAATCATCCGCTTCTTGGTGGTTTCCAGGACCGCTTTCAGAGCCAAATCATCCAAATCATCCGCTTTTTGGTGGTTTCCGGGTCCAAAAACACCGAGAAGCGGATGATTTACTCGGGAGCCAAATTCAGCCAAATCATCCGCTTTTTGGTGGTTTTGAGATGATTTACCCGGGGAGCCAAACGGCTTCTGGACCTGGAAACCACCAAAAGGCGGATGATTTGGCTCCGCACGGGCAAACCATCCGCTTTTCGGGGTTTTTGGATTTGGAAACCACAAAAAAGCGGATGATTTGGCTCCCGGGTAAAGTAGGGTGCTGGTACCATGACATGTTTTTTCTTACTATGAGAGGTTTCTTCTCACAATGACTTCACAAGGGCTAGGATTTGGGGTCACCCCGACAAGTTCGGCACATGTATTTGAGTTTACGCACCTAAATTCTAAACCCAAACTAGTAGTTTCCATTTTCTTTTCCATTATCCCTATATATTCCCTATATAACCCCTACATATTAAAGGGATCTAATCTTTATTATAGGGACCCCATAAAGGTACCCCTACTTCTGGGAAATCCCCATTTAAGTTTACGCAACTAGTCTGTAGAAGTGCTGAGGCAACATTTGGCAGCAGGGCATACAGACAAGAGCTTGAAGGCGAGAAGAATACACATTTTGGAAATTTGGGCCCTTGAAAGTCCCAAAATGCGCACGCCCAAGCGATCGATCTGGTCCTTGATCGGGGGGGGCGGGCGGCAGCTGGGAGTAGACATTGTCGAGTTTTGGGCACTTGAAGTCCCAAAATGCGTACGCCCAAGCGATCTGGTTTGAAGGGGGGGAACAGCTGGGAGTACACAGGTCGGGAGTGTAGGCGCTTGAAAGTCCCAAAATGCACGCTCCCAAGTGCATTTTGGGAGTTTTCGGCCCTTGAAAATCCAAACATGCATGCTCCCAAGCGATCTGGGCTTTGATGCGGGAAGCAGTGGAGTGTTGTCGTGATGCTGTGTTGCAATACTTGCGTGGTGAGCAAATGTCTCGTCATGGTGAGCATGTTCGTTTTCTTGTCGTGGTTGCAACGCCCCCTCTCCCGGGTAAATCATCCGCTTTTCGGGGTTCTTGGATTTGGAAACCACAAAAAAGCGGATGATTTGGCTCCCGGGTAAATCATCCGCTTTTCGGGGTTTTTGGACCTACGCATGATTAGTGTGCGACCCTTTTGCGCCGTTACTGTGCCCTCTCGATAAGAAAACCGCAATCATGGTTAGCGTTGCAACTGTTTTTTTTGAGTGTCTGCAGCGTTGACACTGTCGAGTCACTGAAGTCGATCCCAACCCTCAGAGCCAATAGATACAATGTTGTGTCCAGCGTACACAAAATTCCACAGACTTGAGATCGGATGCCTCTCCGTCGTTAAACCTGCTGGTCTGAAATAAGCTGTTTTCTGCTGAAACTTGTGAACGCCGGGCTGTGCTGCAGGTGTTGGCATTGGTTGAGGTGGATGTGTCCACTTGGTTTATCTCCATGGTGGTGGTTGCTATCGTCACTGGAATATGCCTGGCGCTGGATTCTGTGAATGCACAGCTGATGCAATGCTTCTGTTGCTGGGGATTGTTTACCATTGGCCTAATCTACTACGTCGTCCTGGAGGAGGACACGTGGGAGCTTACGCCTCAGGTGCCAGAGGATCCACGAGAGGTACTGCGCCTCTTCTCTGGCACCTCCATCCAAATGCTTCGCCGATCCTCGTGGTTGGGACGCAGTCCCGAGGAGGCAGTTGCCAAGATTCTCAGCCTTTCAGGGAGGCGTTTTCGGCCAATGATGCCTGGAGTAGATGGCAAAGCATGGCCACGAATTCGGCCGACTCCAAGAGAGGAGCTAAACCTAGATTCGGCTTTTTATCTAGTTCAAGATTACACTGTTGCCTTCAAGCTACTCTGCTTCCTGCAAGCGGCCGTAGTCGCTTCCCTGATTGTGGAGCTGTTGAATGGAAGCATTCATGGACCGGACAGAACAATCCCCTTTGCTTTAGCAAGCATCGAGTGGCCCCTCATGTTGTTTTGGCTGGTGCCCAGCTTCTCGGTGGCTACTAGGAGATTTTGTTTTTTCCATCTAGGCTTCAGGAAGAGGATCCTCAGGAAGAAGAAGCAAATCAAACGACGTGCCTCAATCGTCATCAGGCTTGGTCCGGCGGCTGACGCTTCGCGCTGCGCTCACTCGCACGAAGTCCAACAATTGGTTTAAGGACAAGCAGCGAGGGCTGGTGAGACACGTGATGGTTGCAGGGATCGAGGGCTTGTTACGGGACTGCACGCGTCTGATCCATCTTCAGGGCATGGAATCCCGAGCCTTTCTAATTGGCGACATTTGGGCGCAGCCAGATTCAGTTTCCAAGGTCCTGACAGGCCAATCTCGAGCGTACCTGAGGTCGCACCTGCAAAATGTGGCCATAAGCAATGTCAACCGTGGGCAAGCGCTGTTCAATGAGCTACCTCCCAACTTGAAGTCGGAGGTGTCGAGCATTTTCACCAGTTGGGATGCGGCAAACTCAGGAGTGGTTGCTCCCATGGAGCTGGCAAAAAACATGGAGATGCTGGGTTTCAGTGCAACAGCCAATCGGCTTGCTGAGAACCTGATACGACTGGTGGACAACGATGGCAGCGGACAGCTGACCTGGAAAAAATGTAGAGCCTTGTTCATGCTGGCCACAGCCGGGCGACCGATGGAGGAACGGCGGAGAGATTTAACAACATTCTTCTCGAGAGTGAAGAAGAGGAAGCCTCATGAAGCAACTGTCTTCGAGCTTGCAGATGCCTTGCCCTTGCACAGCATCACGCCTGAGGACCTTTCTAGTTTGATGTACCGCCACTTTGGCCGCGTGAAGCCATCAGTCACAAGAGCTGAATTTGTTGAGTGGATTGAGGCTGTTGAGCAATCGAGGCCATTTGACTAGAAGCTGCTCATGGCTGTGTGTATAGTATCAATTTGTAAGCCGCGGACGCTTTGCCAAGTGCCAGCAAAGTTCCCACCATAACAATGAACTTAAAGTGCCCATACCCAGTTAAGACCGTCAATCTGCGTGAAAAGAGCTCGCCTAGGGTCTGCTGCTACCTATGCCTGCTTGTTCTCTTTGGCATGCGAGTATGAAGACTTGTGTCATGTTGCTCCCGGAAGGACCGCCCTTGAGAAATCCAGGAGTCTCACCTGAGCGATCCGCTCTGAAAGCCAAGGTGTCCACAGTGCTGGCTGAAGCCGGCTTATAGCGGCGAAGCGATTTTCTATGCATTTCCAGATGCCTCGCAGCCGTCCGCCCGACACAAGCGTGCTTGATGCGTTACCAGGCTACACGACCACAGCAGCACAGTTAGCGGAGCAGAGTCCGCGTTGTGTCGGTGTCAAGTAAGCGGAGTGGGCAAACGCCCACTTCCGGCAGTTTTGGCTGTAGTCTCTCGACCAGCCGCCGCGCGATGTAAAAGCAGCAACCTCCAACCCAGACCTGCTCCAACAATGATCGATCCCCGCTTCTCAGCATGGCAGCAATCTCCGTTCCCTTTTTCTGCTGTTCACGAGAGTCATAGTGTGGAGGAGCTCGATGACATGGTATGCGACCAGAAGCAACCCATGCCCCACTCCCACATAAGATGCAAACAACAGCTTTGGATGCCTCGAGTTTGTGCATTCAAGGTTACTGGTGGCAGTGCGCAATGGAGTGGTTGACCACAGTTGGCCACTTTCACTCGGGCACTGCTACCATGCCAAGCGGCCGACGCCATGCGAGGCTTGTCTCGCTGCTGTGGAATAACAAACCTAGGACGTGGACGGGCGCTGGCAAGCACTCAACCTCTGCCCAGCCGATTACTGCAAGGGCGCCCTCCGGTGCTTCTTGGACCAAGGGGAGAAAAAAAACAAGACCGCCACGCTTCGCACAGAGACACCAAGAAGAGTGCCCTTCCTGTGGGTCAGTCTCGTCGCACCGTCCGAAAGCTTTGCGAAGATGCCCTGCAGCCGCAAGATGACCGAGACTTGAGCCCAATTTCTCTTCTTCGACAAGCTGGCAAGGTTGCAAAGACGCCGGCAGACTGTGCAACGGTAATCAATCATGTTGTTGACGTATCGCGAGACGAGCCTTTCATCCGCATCATGGTTGCCAAGCTGATCTCTCCAAGCAGCCTGACTAGGCAAAGCAAGCACATCTGCTTGGCTGCAAATGCGCTGGCCCGCTCTGAGATTTGGGTGCCAGCATTTGGTTCCCTAGTTCATCAATTGTGCGCTCATCAGCATCCTGAGATATCGTTTGAGTCTCTCAGTGCTGTTGATGTTGCACAGCTTTGCCGCTTCACTGCTGTTTTCCGTAGGCACCTGACTGGCATGGGCTTGCAACAGAAGCATGTTTTGGAGACAGCTCATTCCCACCTGCAGCGTCTTGAGGAGTCTGGAAAGAGGATGGAAGCGACTGGATTAATTTCATTGTTGAGATCGGTTGCCCAAGTGTCGGACAGTCTGGGCGATGCACAAGTGTTAAAGTCCGTGGCATTGTGGTTACGGACGCGACTGGTGAAAGAACTTCCGCTCTGTTCGCCTCGCCAGCTTGCAAGTGCGCTGTTGGATCTGGGCGCACTGAGGCTGTTGGATGACAACACATTGGTGCAGCTGCAAAGAGAGGTGACGCGAAACTGGAGGGCCAACACGATGCGGGCTCGCGATCTTGTGTCCATCATCTCCGCATACGCGAAACTGGAAGGTGCGCATGGTGCGCGTCAAGATGCGATTCAGCCACTCTTGCCTCAGATGCTCCAGATGATGTCCCAATGCTCTGGGTCAAGCCTCTGCGAGCTTCTGCATGGATTGGCCAGTGCCAATATGTACGATCGGGTAGTTCTAGACGAGTGGTCCCATCACTTTGCAGAGAAGGCTGGAGCTCGTTTCAGTAAGACTGCCTGCTGCAACTCTTAGGGGGGAGTGCAAGAAGCAGCCGTCTTTAGCAAAGAGTCATGGCCTACAGCTGTGTGCCTGGGCTCTGCGCCGAAACCATGGTGCTTTTCTAGGCTTGCCGGGATTGCTGTTTGTAGAACACACAGTCCTGGTGTCTGGGCAGGTGCTGCCTTGCCCTACAGGTCATGGTCTAAGCTTTTCCACAGGGAAGAAGACGAAGAAGTGAAGCCCTGACCGTAGAACATGTTGAGCAACCCATCATTGCAAGGGCACTGCTTAGGCAATTCACCCACCCTGCAAGCTGGAACAAGAGCCGTGCATTTTCTTTCACAAGGGAAGTATGGACCAGATTTTCAGGCTAAGATCGCCTGGTGAAGTCCAACTCCATCAGTACTTGTTGGGGGAAAGCGAGATGCGGTCAGGGACCCTTGATTCTGAAAGCAGTAGTAATCATTCCTGAAGATGAGGTTGCTAGAGAGAAGTTTTAACGCTCCAAGTGATCATCCAGACAACCCCTGATAGAATAAACGCCTTAATAATCTCAACAGTTCCCCAACAAATCAAGGAGAACACCATCTTCAGAAGCACAGAGATAAGGTGCCGAGGAGTCGCTCCGCTATGCCCTAAGCCCGCGCAATTCTCAGCTTCGACTTTCTTCCCGAAAGGAAAAGTTCCCAAGACCGCGGGGTCCTCTTCCAGGGATCCCTTTAGCTTAGAAAGACCTTGTGGGCTCGCAGTGTTTTGGAATGTTTTGAAACTAGCAAATGCTACACGGACTAGCATTTATGAGTCCAGCTGTGTCTCATATGCAGGTCGTTTGGATTAAGTCATTTGCATTCTTGGTGTTACGCTGTGAATTATTGCATTTTGTAGGTTAGGGTAGGTTCGAGGGTTGACACTGCAGATGACGGAGCATACTCAGGGCCCAGCTGTCACTGGCGGTGGCTGACCTGGCAAAGTTACGCTATGTGAAGAAGGACCCAGCATCAATTGTTCTGTGCGCTATTGAATGCCCTGGCCCTAAGCGCTGAAATAACCCAAAACCCTGTTAAACCCTGTGATGCCTTGGATTTGAAGCTGGCAAGTCCTTGAGGACCCACGAAGTACCTTTACTGCGCTTCTGAGACAGGTGCTGGATGTCCGGCCCATAGCACATCTTCCACAAGGGCAAATCCTGTATGCGTGGCATATACATAGCTTACAGGATGTTGCTCTTAGTAGGCATTATGAACTTCCAGCTGCCGTCAGCCCTTCTGCTGAGGTGGCTCCGTCTCTTGGTGGCCTCGCGGTTCAGTTCTCAGAGAACTGCTAAGCTGTACTAAAGCAAGTCCTTGGTTGTTCAAGCCAGGTCTGTCACATAGTGTGCGCCGTGGCACGCGTCTCTCCTGTCCGCAGTCCTGCAGCGTGCCAAACTGAGCCTACCTTCGGACAGGAGAACCTGGGTCATGATAGTGCTCGCAAATTCCTGGCTCCAGGATCCTTGTTGACGGCACGTCCGCAGTGGGAACACCTGGATTCCGGTCTTCGCTTCTGGGCAGACTCGAGGCCGGACAAGAGAATCGGCATGCCTTCCTCAACCCACGGAGGGGGGTACTTGTGCTGCTCAGAGGCGCAGCTGCTGGCAAAGGTGGAGGAACTGCAACCGCAGGCTGGAGTTCTGTGGGGGTGTTCGGGGCGTGCTGCATTCTGAGTGGCATGGGGTAGAGGGAGAGCGATTCTTATGTGGCAGTGCTGCATGCTGCATGGATGCCGAGGGATTGAGCGCCAGCGCAGCAGCTTTTGTCAAACTGCAGCATTTCAGCCTGACCCCAAGCTGTCTGACAGTCCGTCTCGTTTCATTACGTATTTTTGGTTGTGCAAAGGCGAAGAACTGCTCAGCAGCCTCACCAAAGCTGCAGTGCCACGCAGACCCTCAGAATGAAACCCTCCAAGAGAAAACTTCCACGCGCAGCTGTTGTCCGAGGCCTTGAAAGCTTCTCTGCAGAGGACTTCTCAATGTTCTCATCCGCGCTTGGGGCTGCCGCAGCCTTGCCCAACAAATGCATACAGCCGTAGAGCCTGAATCTGATGCCGTTTCCTCCCTGCAACAGAGGCACAGCACATTGCAACGGACAGCTGGAGTGGGCCCCTGAGCACGATCAAGTGAAGTGGTGAATAGAATTCATGAATAGTAAAAGTACTAGTAATGGTAATAATGGCAATGACAGAAATGGTAGTAATAATCACAATCATAGTAGTAACTTAAAGCATGGAAAGGTGATGACCACTTGCATCGCCTGGGTGAACATGCTGCCCAATCCCTCCAGCAAGCAAACGCTGCCTGGACCCCGAGGCAGGACTTCTTGACATGTCACAGCCCATAGCAGTTTTGGGGATGATCCATGTAAGATGGGATCTATAGCAGACTGCTGTGCAAGAAAGAGAGATGAGACAAAACCAGGGCCGCTGAACTCACGTTTCGCTTGTGACTTTGCGTGCCTGAATGGTGCATATGATTGCCGATGCCAATGAAGTGCTGTGTTGAACCTGGACCGATATTGCTATCTGACGGACGAAACGTGTGAACGACATCAACACTCAAATCGCGGTCACTGACAAGGCATATTACACTGGCACGCAGAGCTTTTGATGCTTTCGGCACAAAACTTCCAGCCTTCAAGGTTGAGAGTTCATCTCAAGCAGGAGCGCAGGTTTTCATGCAGCTAGCTGCATACCCAAGATGTCTCAAAATGCGGGCTTGGAGAAAGCATCACAAACCCAAGTTGCCTGTTTGAGTAAGTCAATCGGATCGACTTTCGGGGAGAGGATTGAGATGCAAGTTTGCGTGTTGCTGTCATACTTCCGCTTGCAGGCAATTCTATGGTAATTCCGTATTCTATTGGTGTTCCTTCTTGTAAGGTTTTCTGTCCATTGCGTTTCACAACATGAAGTGTTTCCTTGTCATTTTTTGCATTCTTGATAGAAATTCAACTTTGAGTGTTTGCGTTTGGGCTTCTGATGCAGCATCGAGTAAACGCGCAATTTCAGATTTAAGTGACAGCGACCTCACGTGGGTAACCAAAAGAAGCTTTAGATGGTTTCTTGTGATGAGACCCGCTCACTCTGATCCTACGTACCACATCACTTCTCCGAGCATGGGATCAGCATTCTGTTTAAACCTTAAGTCCAAAACCCTTCGTAACAGTCCTCCGTGTTTAACAAAAACCTGAACAAAGCATCCTCAACCCTAAACCCTGAACAAAACACCCTTGGCGCACCAGGCAGGTGTCGCAAGTGCTGCAGCCCTTTGTAGCGCAGAAACGGCCTCCGCAAGGCCGGCTTGCTGCGGGATCTTGTGGCGGCTGTTAGTAGGGATTATATATTGACTATAGTCTACACTCCTCAAAGGGGGTTATCCAGGGGGATATAGGGGACTACTACAGGGGGTTTTCAGGGCTACTGGGGGTTTAGGCTATGGCTCATACAGGGCCATTCATGGGGGCTTTACCTCTGGTTGGGAGGGAATCAAGGAAGAGAAAAAGACATGTACACCACGAAATGATTGGGGGAAATAGGGATATAGGGCTTACTAACAGCAAGTAAGATTCGTAGGGGCTCCTCAAAATTTCAGGGTTTGTTGTTGGGGGTTCTTATAAGATCAGATGAGAAGGATGATGTCCTATCGTGGGTTGAAGGGAAGGGCCAATGTGGCCGAAGTTTGAATCCATGAAGTTAGGGATTTCCTGGAACTAGTTTGTGTTTGCTAGTGGCTGTCAATTGTTTCAAGTTGAAGCAGCTTGGGTACTGCAATTCAGGTGAACTCTGCTTGTTCAGCATTTCAGATGCGGGGTGTTGCGGCTCCTTTCAGAAGATTTGATGGTTACTTGTGAGGATTGTAAGCTGGTCCCTTTTGGGATGGTTTCCTGTTGGCATGAGGCGCCCAGGCAGTCTGAAATGCTAGAAGGCTGCCGCAGAGACTAAGCTTTCTGATCAGCCATGAATCAATGGCAAGCAACCATGCCAGGTTTGATCCACGCGGCTCTTGCACATCTGAGGATGCAGTGAAGTGCCGCATAAAGAGTTCTGTCAGGTCTGGAAGTTGTTGATGTGCTCCAGGAGATCCACCTCAGACTACTCTCCGAGAGATCTTGCAAAGCTATTAAGCCGTCTACACGGCTGCGGAGTTCTCCACCAAGATGCCGCAGCGCACTTTGGCTGTTCTGACTTCAACAACACTGTTGCCAAAGCACCAAACTTGTGCTTTCAAAGGCGATGGCAGCTGACATCTTGCAGTCCTCTGAGCGACGTTTGCGCTATCGAGGCAGGACTCTCAGTTAAGCACAGGCCGTCTATGCCCAGCAGCCACAGCGTTCAAATCGTTTGCAGGCCCCGAGATCGTGGCTGTTGCCAATTCGCTAGCACAGCTACGGCAAGTGATCCACGTGTCGCAGTTGAGGTGGGGCGTCACGACTGCTAGTACTTGGATTGAGCACTCTGCCAATCAGGTATCGGTTCCGACGGCTGAGCGTCAGTGTGCAGACGGCTTTGGCACAGAACCTTCTTCCCTTGCGCGACCAGGCTCGAGTCTCTTGACTGACACAGGCGTTGTGCAAATCTGAATTCGGTCAGCTCAAATGATGCGTCAACACCTGCAGCTGCAAGCTCAAAGTCCTTAGCCTTAGCCCACTGGCGAAGATGCCTGGTTTGGGTGCCAGCCCCAGGAAAGAATGGAGCTGGGAGGTGTGAGTGTGTTCCAAAAGACTGCAGAACCGAGGCACTGCCATTGTGAGCGCCTTTACTGCTCATGGCTTGCCACCCCCAGATGCTGGTCATGCATCAGGCCAGGAGTCAAGGATGGTTGCACTGCAACCCTCAGCAAGCGCAGAGCCTGACATGGAGCCAGGCGATCCTTGGGGTGGCCTGACAGCCGAGAAGCTGCTTTCCACCATGCAGCAGGCTCAGGATGTTCAGCGCGGTAGGCTGGATTCCCGCAAGCTCCGTGCACCCGTGTGCCTGGACGGTGGAGAAGTGACGAGGCATCCCAAGATGCAGAAGCTCCTGAAAGCTATGCCAGACGTTCGTCGGGACTACGTGCGCGAGCTCGATACCGCGCTGGTCGAGAGCCGCCTCTTGGTTTGAGCTTTGCAGAAGCGATACTTCATATTGAAAGATCCTTTGCGTGGGCGCTTCAGAGGAGGTTCCAGCAATCCGGATGACATCAAGATGCTGCGAGAGCAGATCGAAGGTGCCATCAAGGCCACCGAACACCATATCCGATATCGGAATGGCAATCTTTGTAGTTTACAGCTGGACGGACCTTAAAGCAGCAGTCTGTCATTTGTCTACAAAGGCTGGAAGTGCACCAGCCCTTGAATGGAAAGGCTACTGAAATTTTGGCCGTGTCTGTTTTCCACGAAGCTGTGTCAGGAGATGAACTCTGAGTTCCTAGCCTGCATCTATTGCAACTTCGGGGTTCCTGCGAGACCTTTTAATTGTCGGGATGCCATTGTTGCTGCACTAAGACTCTGATCATGATGAATGCCTTTATCATGCCCACACAATGCCTCCACACGCTTCCATGTGGTGACCGGAACCAAGGATAGGTAAGAATCCGAAAGCGTTGGATGACCTTTTCAGAGAGACGGCTTCGAAAATGGCAGTGTGTCCCATGGTGGCCCTGCTGCCACCGACTCCTGCGAAGCATCTTGCCTTGATCTGGCACGCGTAAATCCTGTGTACACTCTCTAAATCTCATCTTGAACGTTCAGCACCCTTCAGTCAAAGAATCTTTCCACAAACGCAAGGCGCATGCCTCGGCGGGATAAGAAACTGTAGATTGTCCATTTTGGAGGTACATTCAAATTGTCCAAATGCCCCTCGTGCTGCCAGGAATGGAAACCGAGTTGATCGCTGGGAGTTCCTGTGAAACCCAAAAGGATGTTTCACTCCAACGCTGCGTGCGTGATAATGGCTTCAGATGGGGCCGCATAGGCTTCACCAGTGCGGCTTTCTGATTGTAGACAGGGGTGGAGAGTACTTGATTGGGCTCAAATCCTGGTCAAAGGTAGCCAGGACATACGCCAAGTCAAATACCAGCTACATTGCGCTGGATATGCGGGGCCGGGGAGGCTTTTCCAAGGCCGACCGAGTGCGGACGTGCGCCAACGATTCATCGCAGCAGGAAAAACAGCTGATCACATGCGTCAGCAAGTGACAGTAAAACAAGGACTAGGGGCATGCGCAAGGAAATACTGTCGTTGAGCTCGAATCTGGTTCGAAGGCAGATGTTCTCCGAATTTGGGCTTTGGTCGGGCTCAGGGACCGGGATGTTTGCTGCAGTCTGGTTGCCAGAATCTGCTTCTGGTCGATTCTTGCCAATTGCAGGACTGGCGCCTGTTGGCTACACTGGCTACGAATGCCTCGCAGGCATTACGCATCCGATTCTAATTAGGCCCCAACCATTGGCGTCTACCTACAGTAGTTGTACTTCGAAGGCACTCGATGCTGCTTCAACCAAATCACTCACCGGCCTGGGGCAGTTGCCGTTTCCTGCAGAGGACTATAAGCATACACCACCTGGGGTCTTGATGCCTGAATGCTTACCCGACTGCAGGACTTGCCACAAGCAATCTACGCATACACCAAGCTGGGATCCCCTCATTCAGTGCGTCCCTTTGAGAAGAGTTCCGGCAGGACTAGCACAGCCAACTGTTGCCATTGGATTTTGTGACTCAGGTGGCGCGCGAGTACAGACCAGCCGTCTTCGATTTCCTCGTTCGAGCCATGAAGGTGGCTAGCTATGGCATCTGTGATAACCAAAAGACCGGCTGCTGTGTCATTTGTCTATGTTTCTTCGAAATGAGATCATTGTTGACCCACAATTCGCTTGCAGGATGCTCCCATCCATCTGAACCAATCGTTTGAGACATGCGCCCCCGAGAACTTGAAGCATCCTGACATATCCTGGCTTCTCTTGTGTTTTGACGCTACCAGCATGTTCGGTGTATCGGTTTTATGTCAACTATCAGCAGTACTTTGCCACGATCATAACAAGCATCACCTGCTCGTGATCCTTCTCCTTTTATCATCACTCTCCTCACCTTCGTCACCCTCACCATCATCACTATGCATCACCATCATCACCATCATGAGAGGTCAAACATAGAGCGGCAAGCCATTTTGAGTCCAAGTGGGGCTAACCTCGACCCGTCGGGTCCTGCCCTGCCTTTGCCTTGACCGGAAATTGGCGCTGGCCGAAGTGGCGGCGCTCGTAATTTGTGTGAGGTAAGACAAGGCCAGCAGCCATGATTCCTCGTCATGATGGTCTGAAAACTTATGATCGACCTCAAGCCCCACAGAAACGGTAAGCCGCCTGCGCTGGACAGTCTGTGTGCCGGCTAGCGTTCGGGTCGAGCACCTCGCCACCCCCATACACCTCACCACCCGATGCTTTCACGGACCAGACTGCAAGACTATCCAATGTTTCCTCATTTATTCCCCGTCCACTAGCCAGGTTTTGCGCTCGAGGTGTTCGCAATAAGAAGACTGGCCCATTTCTGTCACGACCCCATCGTGTCTAGGCAGACGGTAAACGCTGAGCAGGTAGAGGTCTTGAAGCCGGAGACTTTCCATTTGCCAGTTGCCAACTTGCGAATTTCCGGAAGGAGGGTGTTGACTGTGTGGTGAACCAGCTTCGGAAGGAGTATGTTTGACTGTGCGGTGCAATGGACAGGCCGCACTGTAGTGAAATTTACCTCAGCGGTCGTTGCTGCACGCCCCCCTGCGTGGCGTACGAGACGTGCCCCTGCCACTCCGTTCATCACTGCCCGTGGCAACTGCCTGCAGGCACACCCCTTGGGCCCCGGAGACTCTCTTCAAATAACCTCCAGGGTTCCGGAGCCCTACCACAGTTGAGCATCAGAGTCCTAGTCATCTCTGCACTGTGAGCTTAGACTGATTTGATCACCCGACCTTGTGCGGGGCGCAGGGTTAAGGGCATCGCCTACTTCCTAGTTCCTTAGGCGTTGCTTTTTCGTGCTTGCTCAGCTACTGAACTAGCGCCTCTCTCTCTCTTTTGGGGTCCTCCGTTTTGGTGAGGTTGAACAAAGAGAGCGGTGTGTGTGGCCATGGCGCGGTCCGACACACAATTCCTCAACGGTCTTTATGCCCTCAACCACCGACAGAGCGGGCAGGCCTTTGCCACAGCCGGGAGGCGGGCAATTCCAAGGTCGTCCTCTTAGCGCAAAGGAGCCGATGCCTGAACCGCGACAAGCTTACGAGCAGTCGAGGAGAAAGCACCAGAGCACAGTCAAAACTGGGCTGTTTATTCATGTTTGCTCTAAAAGTGACGTCTGATGCTACCCGACAACGCCGCTATACGCCGCTGATGATGAGCCACTTTTTGGACAACCCTGCACACCAAGCAGAGCCCATCAAAATCAAAACCCGCTTTCGCGGGGGCTTCCTCATCAGCAAAGTCCGCCAGACGGTTCTCAATCGCGGTCAGCAACCTACTTGTAGCAAGGTTGCGAAACGCTTTCTGAGTACCAACAAGCCGTCGCGCGGTCCTCACCTCCTAGCGGTGTGCCTTTTCCAGGCCGTGGCAGCCGGGAACTCCTGTTCAAGAGTTCCAGGCTTCCAAGTTCGGCATTACGTTTGCGCCGTTAGCCATGAAGGGCGCCGGTCGGTTGATCCTTGCGGGTGGGGGCGGGACGATCAGAACAAACAGTTTTGTGGCATCATGTATTTTGGCGCTCTAGTAGTAGCTGTGTCGCAGTGACGCAAAGCCGTGCAGCCACGTCAATGGGAATCCCGATCGAACGAGTTGGTCTTGCTTCAGATCACTTCAGTGCAAGTGAGAAGAAAGCTCTTCTCGGCACCTCGCAGAGTTGGGTTGAAACAGGGCATGTTCTATGTGTGCCCTGACATGCTCCAGCAAAATTAAATTTGAGGTCCCTTATCTTCAATCTTGACCAGCCCAGAAAGCCTGTACTGCCCCAAAAATAAATGCAAGCCAAGCGAAAATCTGCTTTTCCAGTGCCAAGGCTTAAGAAACATTGCAGAGCGCAGTATTTTCTCTCATTTTTCTTCATGTCCAAGCCTTTAGCCCAATGTCAATAGCTGCCAATAACCTGAAATCATGTTACGCGGAAAAGCTGCTGCTGGGCGTAAGGTAAACAATGGTAAACATGGAGTTATGGGATGGTGGTTCTTGCGGTGTTTCTCTCACCCCCCTTGCTCCCCTTCCCTCCTTCCTTTAGTGGTCTGGTACTGGATTAAAAAATCACGCTTAGTTGGTAGGAGGGATGCCTACTGCTATTGCTACTAGCCACTCATCATTGCCATCATGACCACTGTCACTATCACCATCATCACCATCTTTGTCGTACATGCTTCGACGCCTTGAACAGCATCATTGCCCGAAATTCCGAGCCGTTTCTCCTGGTACTGTCGCAGCCCTGTACTTTCGGCCAGGCCTTGTTGCAAGTCGACGCTGTACCAAGCTTAGAGGAGAAGGCCCTGCGCCAGCTGTTGTGACTCGATTGCACTACAAGAAAAGAAGAAGGGAAGGTGTATGGATGATATTTCCACCTATGCACTGATTGTGTAGGGCAAAGGTACCGGGATTTCGTCCAGGTTGTGTGTGACATATGATGAGATCAAGAGAGACTGGCAATATGAGTTGTTATTCTACTGGTAATTATGGCAATAAAAATGAAGGTAGTCTGTTCGTGTTAGCAGGAAAATAGTTTGCTAAAGCCCCATCCCTCTGCGGCCAAGAACCTTTGTATTTCCTGAGTCGGGTTCCCTCTGGTATGAAAGGACGGCACCAACTGGCGGTTTTCAGGTTTTCAGATAACAAACATCGTTTTTTCTTACGAACTTGGCAAAACGAGGTTTTTTGTGGCGACCTGGCCATATCATCGCGTGTGCTTCATTGCAACCTGTCACTCAGGCTGGGCATCGCATTTTGGGGGCCTCCGAAGCAAGAGCCGGCTCCTTGATTTGGGGCCTCTGAAAACTACAGGTTAACCTGCGTTTTTTCTGGTTCATCTTGTGCCAAAGGACTTCAGAAGGCTGCCCGGCAGATGTTTTGCCAGAGGAGGCCAAGAGTGCCAGTACAAAGCATCCTCTCTGTTACTACAAGTGTGCATATGGACGTTCTGTGAAGGTTTGCGGAAGGGCCCCCCATTTTTTTCAACACCCTAGCCACCGTAGCATATTTTAACCGCCCCTCTTCTTTTTACCGCCGAACCCATTTTTGTGACCCCGGCGAACCCCTGACTCGCTGCTTGACCGTCACTAGCAACTATGGGCGAGCGTGTAAGAGCAAAGCAAAGCCCCGTTGCGGTGACCCAACTCCTCTCCAACTGCTTCCCTTCAAGTTTGACGCTGGCCTACGCTGCAAGTGCAGTTGGAATTCCCTGAATTGCGCGTGGCCATGACCTGAATTAAGATTAGCACGCGCCCTCGTCCAGAGTGGCCGAGTGGTGTTCTGCGATGAGGGTAGCGCCTTGATGCAAGCGTGTTGTTTTCGCCGCCACGAAATCACTGTCACCTCCATCCTCTCGCCTGCACCGCCCTTTCAGGCAGCTGAGGGTGCTCTGTACGAATTCGGTTGATGTGCCCCCAAGCATACCATGCTGGTCCTATGTAACCGTTGGAGCTTTTCGCATACCATGCCCATCCCATCGCAGTAGGGGTGGTAGCTGACTCGTGCAGCAACCGGCCGAGTCAATTGCAAGGCATAAACGAAGAACAAAACCGCTTTGTAAAAAGAACATCAAAAAGTGAGAGAGCCCAACAGGGCTGGGTATCCCAAAGCAATCAAATGTTTGCATAATTACCTTCCAGATGAGCTGCGCAGGTCTCGTAGAAAGAGGGCTTCCATGCAAAAAAGGATAAGCTCAGCCGCCTTCTTTTTTT